AAAGGTAACGTTTGGGGTGAGTGTTGCAGGGAGCATGACCTTCTTTGATTGGTTGGTGGTGAGGCAACAGGGTGGTGATTCATGAGTCTTAATCTTCAACCTTCTGGTCCCAACCAGTCTGGGGTCTGCGTTCTGGTGGTGAGCTTGTCGTCACCATCCTCCACCTGGGAGGGGGGACGTGTCCTAGTTCCTGCAGAACAACTCAGACTTTTGTGTCGTTTTGTTCTGTATGTCCCTGGAGGAGGAACTCGGACTGTCTATTGTTTCTTGACTGCTTTTGCTTTGTTTCTGCAGTCCCTCACTTCTCTAGTAATTGCCTGAATCTGCCGTTTGGAACTCAGCAAATGCTTGGGAGACTAAAGCCTTTTCTACAAACAAGCAACAGGAGACAGAAAGGCTTTTGTACCTGGGAGGGTCCTGCTTGGTTTCAGTCCCAAGTTTTGGATAGAGAGGTTAAGTTTTGGATAGAGAGGTTGATCATAAGCTCAGCAGGAGAACTTTGTTTTAGGGGATTTGGTTTCACAGTCAGAATGAAATTTCCAATTGATACCTGTTGCCCTTGTCCGAAGTCCTGCATCCTTAATCCACTTCCCTGACCAGACCCCTGCCTGCCTTCTGCAGCCTCCCACCTGTTCATATTCTCCCTGCCATTCTGCGCTCCGGCCTCCCTGACCTGCTTTCAGTTCTCTGTGTGTGTGACGTTCTGTATTTCTGTGGACCTCAGCGTAGATATGCCCTCTACTGAGAACCCGGTCCTTTTCTTCTCTTGGCTGCCTCCTCATCCTTTTGGTTTTAACTTCAGTGCTGTTCTCTGGGGAAGCATCCTTGGCTTGCCACACAGGTCATGCTCCCTCTGTGTCCTTCTATAACTTCTTGCAGTTTCCTCTCCCTAGACTTGTGAAGTACTTTATCGTGATTTTTTTTGTAGAGGGTATCATGCTCTTTCTCCCAAAGTTGCAGTATTGGAAATATATGTTCTTTGTCTCTATTAATATCCCTAGTGCTTGGAAGGTGGGAGGTTTTCAGCAAATATTTGTTGAGTAAATGAGTAGGTGGGGTCTGGTGGAAAGGGGAAGAATAGGTGCAGGATGTGTTTGTAAGAAAGGGGTGGGGTTGGAAAGGCTTAAAAGCAGTGAGTAGGAGCCCCTAAGGAGGACTCTGCAGAAGAGGCCCAGTGAGGGGGCTCCCGAGGCAGTGGAGGGCTGACAGGTGTGGGAGGGGATCCCAAGTACTCTTGAATAGCGCACTGTGTTGTTGAGTCCTTAAGTCGTGGCCGACTCTCTGCCACCCCATGGACTGTAGCCCGCCAGGCTCCTCTGTCCTTGGAGTTTTCCAAGCAAGAATACTGGAGTGGGTTGTCATTTCCTTCTCCAGGGGAGCCTCCTGATCAAATCCAAGTCCTCCTGCATTGGCAGACAGATTCTTTACCGCTGAACCATCAGGGAAGCCCAGTATACTATATTACTACACTATAAATTGTATAGTGTACTCTATACAAAGAGTAAAAAGCCTCTTTTAAATTGTGTCTTTTTCTAATTTGTGTTTGTAGCAGCTGAAATGAGAAAAGCTTGGTTGTTCAGGGTGATTGCTGGAGCAACTTGCAGGAAGCGAGGAAAGTGTTCTCATGTGGAGAGTGCTGGGCAGCCGTTGTGGAGTTTCTAAAAGTGAGAACATGAAGGTACCCTGAGCTGATGAGATAGTTCTTTTAGCATTGTCTGGTAGTGACTGTTATAAACTCTGCCGCAGGAAGTTACATGTTTTATATTTAAGTTTTTGGAGATTTTTGGATTTGGGTGGGGGAAATAGAAATTCTTTTGAAAGAGCTATGGAAAATTGGATCACCAATAGTTGGTGAAGTGCAGTGAAATACTGAGCATCTGGGAGGTTACTGCTTGCATAAGAGCAGGAGCTCAAGAGTGCAGGACAAGGAAAGGCGTCTGCTGTCTGTCTGTAATGGCTGCAGGCTGTCCAGTTTGAGATCTCTAGTTAAAAAGAGGGTAAATTACAATGGAAACATATTAGTTGAGTACTTTAAAATGCTTTAGCTAACTCCCTTTAAAAAGTGCTTATTATAGAAAAACACCTAAAGATAACCAATGATGTTACTATCTTGCTCTTTTTTTCCTAGCCCTATTTTTGTACATAGTTAAGGTCATGCAATATGAATAGATTTAAAAATCTACCTTTGTTTAATATTATAGTATAAGTATTTTTCTCATGTTCTTAAAATCTGTTGTTGACTTTTAAATAGTTGCAGATTTCTTTTCTTTGTCATTAGGAAGTGCTGTCACTTCTCTGTTTGCCAGGTACTTAGCTTGTTTCCAGTTTTTTGTTCTTAAAACTAACGTGAGACTGAACAGTGAACATCTTTGTGCTTGAAGATTTTTCCCTTCACTTTGAGCTGTTTCCTTAGTTGCCTAGTTCAGTGGTTCTCAGACTGGAGTGTATGTCAGCATCACCTGGAAGGCACCTTAAACACAGATGACTGGGCCCTTTGCCTAGAATTTCCGATTGTGGAGAACTGAGGAGAAAACAAATTCCCAGGTGATGCTGGCTGTGGGGAGGACACTCTGAGAACAACTAGCTTGTATCATTGACAATAAAACTATAGTATACCAGTCAGTAGGAGTGATTATGATCTTAAGTGAAACTCAGTCCATGTACCAACCTGTATCAAGGAAGTTGAAGGGCTAAAGGATTGTGTCAGCATCTCAGCATTGAGAATTTATGAACGTGGGAGTGCTGTTTTGTGCAGGGTTCTGTGCCAGGTGTTATGAGGTAAGGATACTGTGATTTTAAAATGGAGCTCACTTTTGGCTGTCTTACAGTCTGTTTGTGAGATAAGACAAATATAACTCAAAAATGCCAGAAGAGAGGTGTAAACAAAAGGCTGAAGAATTCAGAGGGAGGCAGAATCATGTTTGATTAACAATCAAAAAGGAGGAGGCCAAGAAGTGGCAGGTCCAGGAAGAGCTAGGCTATTTTTAAGCAGTTTCAAAGTTGAAATCAATAAAGCTTGAGGTTTTCAGCCAGACGGGCCCCAGTTCAAATCTTTGTACTGTGCTATGTTAGCTTTGTGATACTTTTTCTCTCCGAGTCTGTTTCTTCATGTGTAAGGTAGGGAAAATATCCCAAGGATGTTTGTGGAGATAACGTAAAATGCCTAGTATGGAGTCTTGTAGGAAACAAAACAGTCAAAAATTGTTGAATAAATAACAAGCTTCTTTAAGGTTTTTCATTGGTGCCTCTAAGCATTATAATTAGCAAGGTCAAGTCACCAATAACCATCCATTGGCATAAAAGAGATCTGTGCCTTCCGAAACAGCTGGAATAAAATTAAAAGGCAATTTTTGTTAACAGAAAATGGGTGGTACCCATTGAGTGTGAAATTTGCTAACCCTTTAATCTTGAGTTAGAGCCTTGAATGGACTTTGATTAAATCTCCTTTGACTACATAGCAGTGTGCCTCTGCAGGTTTGCTTGAATATCATGCGAGAGTGAGGCGTTTTTCCTTCTTTGACCACTCTGTATGAACTGACCCTCCCCGCTGCCTGTCTCTGCTCTCCTGCTCTCATGCCCACAGCACTGGCGTGGGTTTTCTTGAGTGTTGTCTGTCTTTCCCACTGCTGTAGGCAAGGACTTTGCTTGTTGAATGCTGTATCTTAGCCCTTAGGCCAGTGATTGACACATAGTGAATGAATGGATGAAAGAATCAGTTGAGGGTATTTAGGAGAAGAGGATGGAGAAAAGTATAGGGAAGATTCTTTTAAAAATGGTTTTGTGAGCATTTTTAACTGCAGCAGCAACAGACTTGTATTTTAAGCTCCTGCTGCTCTATTTTGAGGACATTCTAAGTCCACTGGAATGATTTTGAATACTGTTGCTTCTGCAGTGATAGTTGTTGAGAAGAAAGGAAACATTGGCTCAAATATTTTTAGACAGTTTTTACAGAGACTTAAGTCACCAGAAGTGTCTTCCAGAAGTCTTCCTGATGGTGGGAGAGACAGCAGAGTCGCTGTTGATAAAAAGTGACTTCCGTCTACAATGTTTACTCTTGTTCTGCGCCAAGTGAGAACTCACGTGTGCTTGTCCTGCCTTTGCGGCAGTGCAGCTTTGCCTTTCTTGGGTTCCAAGTCAGTCTGGTGAAAAAGTGTTAGATTTTTTTCTTAGGGATTTGTTTGGTCTTACCACTGCACTTGGTGTCCCGAGGGATGCTGTTCTGCTGCGTCTGTTGAGAGCATGGTGATAGGGATATCACCACTATTTTGCTCTCTAATTTGGAATATGTTTTTTTCTATAAAAGATATGCTTTTCCAGTTTTTTTTGCCCAGACCATTGGTACATTTGTTGCTCTTTGTTACTTTACATCAAGTGGTAAGGAACTGATGTTGCCCAGGTGGACAGTGGGCAGGTCACATAGGCAGCCTTGTTCTTAGAAATTCTGAACATATAGCCATAAATGCCTTGAATTTACAAGTTAGTTCATTGCATACTCTGATATTCTCTGAGGTATTAAAATTATTAGGACATAGACATGGACTTACGTTCACATTTCCCTGAGTGTCCCAGGTCTCTTTCCAGAACCCATTCGTTTGACCTTGGGGCCCAAAGGTTCACACCTCGTCTTACTTCCTGTATTCTTAAGTCTCTTCTGTCTGCACCCCTCCCTTCTTTCTGATGCCATTTGTTTCCTGGAAAAATTGGGTCATTTGTTTTGCAGGAATGGAACATTCTGGGTGTGGCTGGTTACTTCCTAAGGTGGTTATTTAATTTGGCAACCTCTAATCCCTTTTTGTCTTAAAAACTGTAAGTTCGATCTTAAGTAGCTTCAGGGGTGTGTGAGTGTGAGTGTGTGTGTGTGTGTGTGTGTGTGTGATAAGAATACTTTGATACTGCTGGGACATTACATCAGGAAGAGTTTGTTGTTTGACTCTCGTTTTAATGATATTACAATTGATTAGTAGGTTTCAGTGTTTATAACCTTTTTACCTTTATTTCAGAAAAGCTTGATTCTTTGCTCTCGGACTACGATATCCTCTCCTTATCCAATATCCAGCAGCACTCTGTGAGAAAAAGAGAGCTGCAGGTCTCAACACACTTAGAAACACTACTGACTTTTTCAGCCTTGAAAAGGTAATTTGAAGTATTCATAAAATAATGTTGGGGCAGTGGGGTACTTGGTTTGGTAAAAGCAGAAAAATTGGAGTGTCTAAGTAAATCTTAGAAAGTTACAGTGTAAAGATTTGTGATTAATCTAATTATAGTCTGTCGTGCTTCTTGTAATAATGTATTGCTTATTCTAAAATTCATACTAATGACTGTTTTTTAAAAAGTAAATGTGTGTTTCAAAAGTGTTAATGATGGTTGTTTATTGTTGCTTAATGACGGTTTAATTTATTTTTTGGAATTCTGACAAAGAATTTTAATTAATTGAATGGTTGTAATACTTCTGTGCTGCTTTAGAATTGTCAGCCTTATACTGAGTATTATACTGAGTACTGTCTTCATATATGAAATGAAGACACCGAGCTTTAGAGATAAAGGATTTATTTAGGCCTCCACAGCCTAGTGGTGAGCTGGGTCTACAATTCAGTGCTCTTTCCTCATTGAATTGCTCTTATTTCATAGCATACATGGATAGATGTGTGGTCTGTTTGGTCATTAATTTTAATATCTCATGTTTCGCAGATGTAAATTTGTTAGATAATTACTGGCCTCTTTATAAACTCTTTTTAGAGAGTTTTATTCATATCAAAAAACAAACATTAGGGGAATATAAATGGGCTGACTTTTTCTTTATACATGGGATAGGCCTTCTTCAAGTATTTTAAAGTAATATATGTACCTAGCTTTAAAAAAAAACTACAGAGGGACTTCCCTGATAGTTGAGTGGTTAAGACTCCAGGCTTCCGCTACAGGGGGTGAGGGTTCAACCCCTAGTGGGGGAACCAAGATCTCTTAGGCCTTGGGGTCCCCCTCCCCAAAAAAGCAGACAGCAAGTATAAGAGGTTTTCACTTCTAATTCTGTTGCACTTTCCAGACCCAGCAAGTTTCCTTATAAACTTCCAAAAGATTTTAATGAGTATTTTTTGCATATAGATCTATATTTGTGTAGGTGATATAGATAGCATAGATTTACCTCATTTTTAACAGCTGCATAAATATTTCTGTTTTTAGTACCCTGCAGATGGATATTGTTTAATCAAAGTGATCCCCCCCCCAATAACAAACAGTGCTCCAGGGAATATCTTTATGAATATACTTTGTCTAGGTATCTTTTTAGGATACATTCCTGAAAGGTGAATTACTGTATTGGGTCAGGGGTGTACATGTTATAAATGCTTATTGATGTTGACATGTTTCCTCCTAAAGGTTTATGTGCTTCAAGTTGAGATGCATTCTTTCTTTAGGCATTTTAAATTATACCTGACATCAAGTACTGAACGCTTTTCCAAAAATTTCAAAGTCGTGGTGGTAGATGGGAAAGATGAAAGGGAGTACCCCGTCAAATGGCAGGACTTCTTTAGTGGACACGTGGTTGGTGAGTAGGTGCTCATTTGTTTGCCCTCGTGTATGGACAGAGGAGCCTGGCAGGCTACAGTCCGTGGGGTCACAAGGAATCGGACATGACTGAGTGACTAATGCTACTGGGTCACAAGGAGTCAGACATGACTGAGTGACCAACACTGCTACCACTACTGGGAGGTTGGGTGTCCAGATTAAACTAGAGTTGTATTTTCTTTTTTGAGGGGAGGAGAATGGGGTGGCCAAGAAGTTCTATTGTTTGTCTCTTTTATTTGAGCTTTGTAAGTCTGGAAGCAGAAGCATGCAAACAGGAGGAAATGGGTATTATCCAGCATGTCATTACTGATTGGGTATTTTGATCGTACAGTGGAGTTCCTCTTAAGTCATAGGAATTTAACCTCCTTTTGTCTCCAGGGAAGGACTGTAGACTTCCCTTATGAGATTGTAAACAAGGAACATGGGATCATAGATCAATTATTTTACCTCCTATCATGTATTTATTTAATAAAATATATTAAACAAGCAATTGCAGTTTACTTCTGGACATTTTTCTGCAATAAGAAAAAAAAAATGGCCCTAAAATACTCAAAAAGTAGTTTCAGACCTGTATATTCTAGATCATGCTTTCTGCCTCCTCTTTCTTACCCCAAAATAGGTAAAACTATTCCAGAAGAAAATTTGTACTTTCTTTTGTTCTGTAACACACTCTAGATGACCTGAGAGAAAGAGGCTAATTTCAGATGACTAGAGTTGAGATTCCTCTTGCGGGAGTGAGAATACCCACCCACTTTATGCGCTGTGTTCCTTAGATCTCCACAGTGCCTGGATGCATTCCACGCTGTAGAAGGGTGTGGTTGATGTTTATCGACAGTAGTGCATAGTTTTTTTGCTTTAAATGTTTTTAATAATGGCTGTTTTTTTTTTAAGGTGAGCCTGACTCTAGGGTTCTAGCACACATAGGAGATGATGATATTACAATAAGAATCAACACAGATGGGGCAGAATATAATATAGAGGTAAGTCTGCATGTCAATTTTTTTTCAAGGAGCATATGTCTCTTATTTTTAGAAAGCCATTTCACAGTTGTTTTAGGAAGAAAAAGGTGTTTAATTATACTTATTTTCTCCTTGTATTTAAATTTTATTTTTTTAAGACCAGAAAAATAGATGAAAGACTTTTAAAAAACATATCTAAGATACTGTCATAGGACACACTCTGTATTTTTAAGTACAACAATTGAGAGAAAGTCATATGTGGGATGGATAATAGGATAGGAAACTTTCTTCCCCTCCTCTTGTCTTTATTCTTTCTCTTAATAATCCCCAAAAGGTAAAGCTTCTCAAAGATGAAAAGGAAATCTCTTTCCTAGATGCTGTGGAAGTATGTGGTCAATAAAAGGTGACAGTTCATAGTCTGAGAAGTTAAAAGATGAAGCTATAGGCTCTGACCACTCTTTCACTGAAACCCTTGCAGTCGAAAAAAAAAAAGAAACCCTAGTAGTCGAAACCAAGTCCAGAGGAGCCACGTTTGTATGAGACACATCACTGCATGTCAGATACCGGTTCAGAAAACAAACCGTTTGCTCCCGATTTGTGGGTTGAAGTGTTTTCTGCGTCTCTGGAAAAAGAGAATACTCTGGAACATGGACACATGTTCTCGGAGGTTGCCACAGAAGGGAAACAGCTGGAGAATCCCACGGGGGAATTTTATGGGCCAGGCTTACAAGTGGCCTGTGTCACTTCCGCCCACGTTCCGGAATTCTTGTCTCTGATCTGCCTACAGAAGAGGCTGGAAAAGCTAACCTCCTGTGCTCAACAAGCTAAACAGTGGGGGGAGTGCGCAGCATTGTTTCTGTCACAGTGCACATGTTTGCTTATTTCCTTAAGATCATCTTTTCTTAGCCCAAAAATGTGTGCATTTAAGATCCAAGTTGGTGATGGTGGTTAGTCACTTAGTTGTGTCTGACTCTTGTGACCCCGTGGACTGTAGCCTGCCAGGCTCCTCTTTCCATGAGATTTCTCAGGCAGGAATACTGGAGTGGGTTGCCATTTCCTTCTCCAGGGGATCTTCTGACCCAGGGCTTGAACCCATGTCTCCTGCATCACAGGTGGTCTCCTGAAGTGCAGGAGGATTTTTTATCACTGAGCCACCAGGGAAGCCCTAAGATCCAAGTTAAATTTTCTCAGATTCCTCACTTTTCCAAATAATTCCCTTTGGGACAGTTAGGAATTCTGTTTTCATTCATTCCTCTCTGTTTCACCAAATACAAAAATGATCATAATTAACATTTTCCTGTGAAATGGTCACTTTAAACTCATCAGGTTTGTTGAAGGATTTAACATGAGATTAATCATTTTTAAATTGGTCAAGTTGTTTGTTACTTACTTAGAAGTCCACTGTCTGCTTCCCACCCCCAACTCTGCCAGCTCTAGGAAATCACTAATCTGTTCTCTGTCTGTTTATATTTGTCGTTTTGTTTCTTTAGATTTGCTTGGTCAACTCATATAAATGGAATCACACAACATGTGATCTTTTGGTGTCTGGCTACTTTCATTTAGAATGTTTTCAGTGTTCATTCATGTTATAGCATGTGTCAAGTACACCATTTCTTTTTATTGCCAAATAATATTCCATTATTTGGATATACCACATTTTGTTTATTGATTCATCAGTTGGACATTAGCGTTGTGTCTACTGTTCGGCTATTATGACTAATCCTGCTATGAACATTTTTGAACAAGTTTTTATGTGAGCATATATTTTCATTGCTCTTGGGTATGTAATATACTAGGAATGGAATTGTTGGCTCATATGATAACTCCTTTTTTAACTTTTTATGAAGCTGCTTCACTGTTTTCCATGGTGACCACAGTTTACATCCTCAGCATTTTCATTTACTGCATTTTATATTTCATATTCCATTCTCACCAGCAGTAGATGAGGGTTTCTCCACCTGCTTGCCAATACTTGTTATATGTTGTTTTGATTACAGCTGTCCTAGGGGATATGGTGTCCTTCAGGTTTTGATTTTCATTTCCATGATGGATATGGAGATATATAGATGCACAGATACACAGACACAGCATCTTTTTTTGTATGAGCTATCTAATTCAGATGAGACCAGTGTCCTTACAGAGAAGAATTTGATCTTGACTAGTCAGTTTACTTAACCTGGAAATGAATGTTACTGATATCTAACAATAGGCAAAGGATGTTATAAGAGTTTAATACTTAGGAATTTTTATATTTTCCATCTCAGTTATATTTGTTTTCTATTTTAGCCACTTTGGAGACTAATTAATGATACTAAAGACAAAAGAATGTTAGTTTATAAATCTGAAGATATCAAGAATGTTTCACGTTTGCAGTCTCCAAAAGTGTGTGGTTATATAAAGGCGGATAATGAAGAGTTGCTTCCAAAAGGGCTGGTAGACAGCGAGCCGCCTGATGGTAAGACAAAAAACATACATTTCAAATAAAAAGCAAGCATAGCAGCTGTCTTCAATAGGGATGGTTGTTAGTTGATTTAAAAAGAGAAAAAACATGATTATCAAGTAACTGTAGTATTAATTTTGGCTTGAAAATAGTTGTTCAGGAGAGATCAGGTATGTTCAGGGTGATATGGCTATAGACAGGAAACAGGATTGTTCGAAAATTTCTTAAGTTACATTTTTTTTGCCTGTAATTGAAAACACTAGAAAAAAGATTGGGAAAGGGCAAACTGAATAATCTGAGGAAAAACATTTTCATTAGCAGGTATTTAGAAATGACAGAATAGTACGGTGAAAAAACAATCTTCAGATACGTTTATAAGAAATCAGTTGGTAGCAAGATTTTATTTTGTTTAAAAGAAGATTAGCAGCCCTGGGATAGATGAATTTAGAGTGCTTTAAAGATCGTCTACCCATTTATTGTTGTTTTATTTAAAGATCAAGTTTTATTTTTAAATTTTTTCTGGCCATGCCAAGTGGCATGAGGGATCCTAATTCTCTGCCTGGGGATCAAACCTGCACCTCCTACATTGGAAGCTTGGAGTCTTAACCACTGCACTGCCAGAGAAGTCCCCTCACTAATTTTTTAATGTTGGATTATCTAGATATTTTTACTTTTACTTTAGTTAATTTGTAGACTTCTAGAAGAAAATGACACCTCCATAGTTGAGCAATAGATAGGTGGTTATTTTATTCTGTGAAGTACTTTTACACTTTTCCTTGTTTTTGAATTCTACAATTTTTTTAAACTTTTTTATTATTACTTTTTTTTGGCGGCTCCACAAGGCATTCAGGATCACAAGGCAGGGATCGATCCCGTGTCCCTTGCATTGGCAGTGCAGACTCTTAACCACTGGAATGCCAGGGAAGTCCCTTGAATTCTACAATTTGAAAATCTCATTTTTACTTTTCACTTTTCTTTCTCCAAATTTTTCTTGTTCAAGATATTGTTAAGGATACTGAGCTCAAATAATATTTGTTTCAAAAATATGCTAGATTTAAAACTTTGCTATAAAAAAACTCCTTGTTTTGGTGAATTTTGATTTAATAGTGCATCCAAATTCATATTAGAGCTTGTTCATCGGGTGAAGAGACGAGCTGACCCTAATCCCTTGAAGAACACGTGTAAATTATTGGTGGTAGCAGATCATCGCTTTTACAAATACATGGGCAGAGGGGAAGAGAGTACAACTACCAACTACTTGGTGAGTATTTGACATTGGAGGATATAATCAGCAGAAACGTTCCTGTAGGTGGGCAAGTGCCATTTAAGAGAAGACTGCTGTAATTTGAAATGTAATGAAATGAGATCTATTTCAGGTGCTTTGTGATTTCCTAGAATATTTGAGGTCTGTCACCTAAGGTTCTTACATTATTTAAACAATAATGTAGTTTGATTATTATTAGTTGTTAGATGCTATTTTCAAATTTTTGAAAACCTGTTTTACCTTTCAACTAGGATTTTCCGCACATCAGAAGTTTTATGCGTGTTATGTTTAGGGAAAGTTCATAACATAGACCTTCTCTCTTTATAGAACTGAACTCTGTGAAAACATCACTGTTGTAATAACAGTGGTCCTGTTGCTGGGACATATGGATGTATACTCCAGAGTAGGGGAAAAAAGTATTTGTATGAACGTATGTGTATTATTTTTGCTTATATGTATATATCAGAGGAATTGGTCACTTGGTTTGTATCATGTAAAATATCTAATCGTTAGACCGTAACTGAGTGAAATAAATGGAACTTCAGTGTCATAACTGTAGGGTGAAGACTTGAAGGCAAAATTACAGAACCACTGATGCTGGGTTTTTAAGCATTTACTATTGTAATTTTAAAAGTCAAGGGAATCATATTTCATTGACATTTTTTGTCAGTCTGACCTCATTCCTCGTGGTCACTTGGCAGGGAGTGAAATGACATTGAGGGAGTAAAAGAGAATGTGGCTATTCATTCTGTAGTGCTGCAGAGCCCAGCGCAGCAATGCTGTCTTTCTCCTCGCCTCGCTGGTCCCATGCTGTGCGTTTTTTGTGCCCTTCTGTCCCTTGCCCTCCATGTCAAGTAATTTTATTACGAGGGTAGTAGGAGTAGTGTGTGAAGTCACTGTAGTTCTTGTTCCTAAGTAAGAAACTCTTTAAAAATTAGTTTGTTTATTGGCTGTGCTGGCTTTTCTCTAGTTGCAGTGAGCGGGGGTTACTCTCCTGTCGGATGCTCGGGCTTCACATTGCTGTGGCTTCGCTTGTTGGGGAGCATAGATTCAACAGTTGGGTGCTCAGGTGTAGGGCTTAGTTGCTCCACGGCATGTGCGATCTTCCTGGATCAGAGATTGAACCTGTGTCTCCTGCACTGGCAGGCAGATTCTTTACCACCAAGCTACCAGGGAAGCCCAGGTAGTCTTTCTTGAGAGGCTTCTTTTCTTAGTGTGGGTTTTGTATTAGGGGTTCTTAGTTTACTTCTTTGTTCATTACACCAGGAATATGAATAAAATGTAAGGTCTTGTCTTAGAAATTGCATTTCTTTTTTTTTTTTTTTTTTTTGGCTGCTCTAGGTCTTTGTTTCTGAGTGTGGACTTTATCTAGTTGCGACTTGCAGGCTGTAGAGCATGTGGGCTTCAATAATTGTGGCACACAAGCTTAGTTACTGTGCAGCATATGGGATCTTCCAAGACCAGGGACTGAACCTATGTCCCTTGCATTGTCAGGCAGGTTCCTAACCACTGGACCATGTGGAATTCCCAGAAATTGCATTTCTTGGTCTTAGAGTTACCGTAAGCAAAGAACAATTTCTTAGACCTGTAACATACTTCGCAGTTGCCAGAACAAACCTTGTTTACCCAGTTTGAACCGTGAAGTCTTCTCTTAAGGAAAAGATAGGAAATGAGTATCTTGTTCCTACTGTAGTTTGAATCATACTTGGCTATAATACTGTCCCTCCTCCCTCAGTAATCTCTGTACTCTACCTCTCCCCCCACCCCCGTGAGAGGACACGAGAGAGGAGACAGGGTGAGACCTCATTCCTGTTTCTACCTCGTCCTTGGGTGCTGAACTTTGCCTAGGAAGGGTCTGGGATAATGGTGGTGGTATGTGTCACTGCTCCTTACTACTTTCTGAAGGTTTTTTTTTTTTTTGAAGTATGTGGCATGAGTGAACAGAGTACTTCTTTGGGCTATTTTAGGTAAATTGACTATTAACTTTGATTTCCATAGTTGAGTGGCGGTTTTTAAAAAACCCATTATTTGATATTTCCATTCTCTATGCAGTTGATTACCTGAAATTGAGGGTTAATTGTACAACTGCTTTATTCTGGTAACATTTTAAGTTTGAGGCTAGGAATAATTTCTTTGATAGAACTGTCAATGTTCAGAGTAACATCCTAATGTCAGTTTTTTTAATGGTGAAACTTTTACAGTGGTATTTAAATTGATTTTTTTAAAAAAAATCCCTGAAGAACTTATATTAGACTGCAAAGAATGGTGAAATATACATAATGTCTTTCTCTTACTCTCTCTTTATACACACAGATAGAGCTAATTGACAGAGTCGATGACATCTATAGAAACACTTCATGGGACAATGCAGGTTTTAAAGGTTATGGAATACAGATAGAACAGGTATTTATCAATGGATGGGTGTTATAATGTTCAACTAAGTTGTGTGGTATAAATACTTGTCACTTGTATTAACAGCCCAAAAACTTATCTTCTACTTTAATCATGAATTAATATTCTGATATGACAGTGATTTATCTGATAAACTTAAGTGTTTTGATACTATTTATAGATTATGAAATATTCTGTTCTTAGGCTTGTTTTAGGCAGGAAACCTTCTTATGCTACTAAGATCTTTCTTTTTTTCTGAATTCATGGCCTTTTTATCTTCTGTGTTGCTTTACTTATGCTTAATTAATGTCTTTAGTTAGAATTCTAACACATTGTTGAAACCTTAGAAAATACACTCAAAAATTCTGTGTGTACATTTTCAAGGCATTTATACATATAGAACCATTAGATCTCTTTTCCTAAGAATCTTCTGAGTTCCTATCTGTTAATGATGTCCAGCATTGATGTATTAATGTCATCCCAATTATATCACATAGTAAAAATTATTCCAAATTGATAAGACTTGTTAGTAACAAGTATTCTGAAATTGGCTATTACTTTGGACAGCCATTTTGACATGTAAATTAAGGAAATTATCTCTTTTTTCAGGTTGTTTGTACTAAAGTAGCCATATTACAGGTTCTGTAGTGTAGGATTTAGAGAATAAAAAGAAGAAAGCTTTTGAAATCATGTATCATACTTCTAATAAATGTTCCACTTTTATAGTACTTGTATAAAACTAAGAATTATTTTTCTCTTTTCCATTTTCTTTTACTCTTTTGCATTTCCTTTTTAAAGTTTTTATTTGAATAGGTAATATATACACATGGTACAAAAGCCAGTGAAAAGTAAGTCTCCTCAGCTACCCGTTGTCAAACCAGTTCCTTTCCCCAGAGACATCCATGTCGCTAGTTTCATCCATATCTCCCCAGAGATATTTTATGCATGTATAGCATGTGTTTGTCTGTGTGTGGTATGTTGTACTCTTCCACCTTGCTTTTTCATTTCATGAATATGTTGATGATTACCCCATTATGGTACAATAAAGGTGTCTCACTTGTTTAAAATAGCTGCAGTATATTTGAATTCTAGCAGACCAGTGAATAAAGCTGCTTTTTGCTTTAGGAATTTGGAACCAGTTTGAAAAAAACTAGATGTGGTAGGAGATTAAAATACCAGCTTCTTTAATGATGGTAGGTGGGTTGGAGAATGTGGCTTAAATGTGCACTCAAGAGTGGGCTCCCACCTAGTTCATCCCAGAATGGATCTTGATCACCCAACACCAGAGCTTCAAAGCCCACCCCAGTGAGTTTACCACATGGTGGGGGAGCAGACTGCAGTATCCCCTCTGTAGGCAGGCAGATCTGAAAGAGATGCCAGAAATAGTGAGCTGAGCATGACTCTCTTCCTTTTTGCATTAGCCTTAGGAGAGAAACCAGCATCCTTTTTTTTTTTTTTAAGTAGGATTAATATGAATTTGTGCTATATGTATAAGGAATTGTTTTTTTTTTTTTACTCATATGTCTGTGGTGTGCAGAGCTGTACATCTTATTCTCATCTCTGAATCACTGGAATAAATGATTTTAGGCTCATGGAACCTAGATTTTTATTTTTTCCAACTAAAGAAGAAATAAAAATGAGTACACTTATAAATTTATAAATCATTCTTTGACATATTTTTCATACCATTTTGGTTCTCAGTTTGTTTTTAATCATTGGATATTAGAACTGAAGAATTTTATGGAATTTTGACTGTAAAACTTTTTTTTAAAGAATGGTCAATGGTCTTTTTTGACTTAGTTGAAACAATGCAGTATTATTTTAGTCTTGTGAACTTTTCTGAAGTGTTCTAAGTATTTTATCTCTTTAAGTATAGATTCGCATTCTCAAGTCTCCACAAGTGGTGAAACCTGGTGAAAGGCACTTCAATATGGCAAAAAGTTACCCAAATGAAGAAAAAGATGCTTGGGATGTGAAGATGTTACTAGAAGTAGGTCATGGAACCCTGAGTGTGATACTGTTTAACACCATTCTGTGATTTCTAAAAATGTGGGTCATGTCTATTAATGAGGGGGTGTCTTAGAGGTGGTGAGCACCAGGGTCAGCACTCCCTACCTGATCCAGGATGACCTCTTCCCCTGTTGCTGGGCAGACAGCAAGGTGGACAGAACTGAAAGTGAAAATTGCTAGAAAACAATGCCTCTTAATGGTAAAATCTCTGTGAATCCAACGAAGTAATGGGGCTTTAGGAAATAAATGGATACCCACCTTTGTCGGGGTCCTTGCCCCAGCAGGATCCAGGGGTACCCTCAGGATGAACGGCGTCGGCGAGTGAGAGAGAAAGGGAGAGAGAGAGAGAGAGAGAGAAAAACAGAGAGAGAGACCAGATCGGGATGTGCAGCAGAGTCTGGCAATGTTTTATTTTTCACTGTAGCCTTCATACCCTAAGTTGGTACATTTCTAAGGGGGAGATAAGCATACAGACTTAGTTTAACATTACATTAGCTTGTCCTTCACGAAACCAGGTGTTCTCTGTATATTTTTTTGTTTATGAGAGTCTTTTCCCATAGATTTTTTGTACATTATCTTCTGGCCTTGAGCTTAGCAGAAAACAGAAAAGTGGCAGTCTCATGATACAGCAGGTTGCAACATAATAGAAATACAATCCTGTTAACACGAAAGTCAGTCTTTTTGCAGAAGTTCTCAGCTAAATTTATCTAAAAAGTTTAACACACACAGACTCTGCGGCACCCGTGAGGCAGCCTCTGTTTTAGCACTCTTGGTTAAAATGAACAATTATCTTATTGTTTTTACACTAGGGCTAAACTCTTATTTTTCTAGATCTCCAACTATATTAACAATAGTTTCCACTGCACAACCTCAGCACATTAACATCAATCAAATGTTGATCCAATAACTACTTTTAAAACAATATTTTTTGTGTTAGAGAACTTCCTCACCCCCCAAAGGGCTCTGTGCCTATTAGGGCCTTTTTTATGGTTAATCTTTATGTATAATATCTTTTGGCTTTCAGGCCTGTTGACAGTTTATGGCTTGCACCTGGTGTGACTTTAAGCAACTTCAGTAGCCGACCCTGTCTTTTTTGTGGTTAATCTGTTTTCTATTAGGTGTCATCTCCATGGGAACTAGATAGGATTACATTTTTACAGAACAGAAATGCACAGGATTGCAAAAACAGCAGATATGGCACAAAACAGGCTCTTAGTCTAAAAGTTAATTACCTGCAAGAAGTCACCAGCTAATCTCTATCTCAGCTATTTTCTATTAGGCACATTTGTGGGGCTTTTCTCATCCTGCGGAGGGACCTATGCTTAATAGTTTCTTTTGTTAGCGTACTGTGCTTAGGATGTTTAGAACAATCATGAGCATTTTTTGCAATGAGAGCACACATTTATCAAACAAGCCAGAATGCCAGCAAAAGGGTTTGAATTGAAGCATTTCCTTCATCCCTGGCCCCTTCATAGGGTATCAGCATCTGGGAGATTTATTAATTAGGGTTTTAAGTTGGTCTTTATTCAGTGAAAGAGGAGCAGGAGAACTCTCGGCAGGCAACACAAGAATCTGCAGCAGGGCAAACAAGAACAGCAGCAGAAAAGGGAGGAGGATACAGGGTGGGGTAGAGGCCGAGGCCAACCTGGAGGGTCCCTTGTATCCTGAAGGCCTTGCGTGTCAGGTATTTTCTTCATGATCTCGTCATGGGTGGGATCTCCCATAATGGCTCCCAGCACACCTTATTCTGAATAAATTTCTTATACATGATTTTGTTAGTTCAGGTTTCTTTGAAGCTTATTAGTAGATGTCTGAGGTCAGTAATTACCAAATGGTTTGAAAATGTATTAGATGGTAGAGGTGTAACGTGGAGATCTGAAAGTACTCTAGGAAATTTTAAATTTGTGTGTTTTTATTCTGGTAAGTAAGGATAACATAAATACCATATGCCATATGGATTCTTGTCTTGACACGATACGATTTATCGTTTTTGTCCCCGGGTCTCTGTCTATGGGCTTCCCTAGTAGCTCAGATGGTAGAGCATCCGCCTGCAATGCAGGAGACACAGGTTCGATCTCTGGGTTGGGAAGACTTCCCTGCAGAAGGAAATGTCAACCCATTCCAGTATTCTTGCCTGGAGAATTTCATGGACAGAGGAACCTGGCAGGCTACAGTCCATGGGGTTGCAAAGAGTCGGACACGACTGAGTGACTAACCCGCACTCTGTTGATACCTTTGCTTTGTTGTAAAATGGCCTTCTATGAATTGATAGCGTTTATCTTCTACTGTGTTGTTAATTTGTTAGTTTCCCATGGCTGCTGTAACAAATTACTGCAAATTTAGCAGCGTAAAACAGCACTTTGTTTATCTGATGGTTTCTCGGCTTAGTCCATGCACAGTGTGGCTCATCTGGATTCTCTGGTTAGAGTCTCACAAGACTGAAGTGAAGTCAGGTTTTCAAAAGCTTGAGCGGAATTGAGGCTGTTATCAGTTTGAGATCCATAGAGTGCTGTATCTGTGCACTACTTAGCCAAGAAAAAGAATGAAATTTTGCCATCTGCAATGACGGGGATGGACTTGGAGGGTCTTATGATAAGTAAATAATTTAGAGAAGGCTACTGTGTGATACCAGTTAGATATGCAATCCAGAAATACAGAAAACTAGTGGATGTGGTGACAAAGAAATACAGATATAGAGAACAAATTAGTGGTTAGCAGTGGGGAGAGGGAAAGGGCAATATAGGGGTAGGGGATGAAGAGGTGCAAACCGTTATGTATAAAATAAGCTACAAGGATATACTGTACAACACAGGACTATAGCCATTATTTTATAACAACTGTAAATGGAGTATAACCTTTAAAATGTAAATTACTGTATTGTACATCTGTAATTTATGTCTATTGACTATACTTTGGTTTAAAAAAAATGTAAAACAATGCAGTTGTACAGTATGGTAGTATTCTGGAATATTTAGTTGAAACATCTTTTAGTCTGATGTAACTGTTAATCTAATTAAGAGCACTTTGTTTTTTTAAAAGCAATTTAGTTTTGATATTGCTGAAGAAGCATCTAAAGTCTGCTTAGCACATCTTTTCACGTACCAAGATTTTGATATGGGAACTCTTGGCTTAGCTTATGTTGGTTCTCCCAGAGCGAACAGTCATGGAGGTGTTTGTCCAAAGGGTAAGTTTTTCGTTTGTTGTATGAAATATTTGGGAATAGCAAGGTGATTGGATTATAATATAATTGTGTCATAATAATTATAATTATTGAACAAGCCATTTGTTTCTTTTTCCCTGTAGCTTATTACAGTCCAATTGGAAAGAAAAATATATATTTGAATAGTGGTTTGACCAGCACAAAAAATTATGGTAAAACCATCCTTACAAAGGTATGTTCTTTAATTTTTAAAAGAGTAGATTTTGAGTTTATTGTAGTGGGACCTCAGCAGTTACATATTTATGTAGATATCTTTTTAAAAAGTAATGCATACTGTTTTTTGTCTGTGCCTAAACAGATGTATGTTTTTAGTGACAAATATGAAAAGTATAAAGAAGAAAATATTGTCAGCTGTCAAACTTCTTTTGAGACCAGTTGGGATTATTGTTTTTCCTAAAGACATCCTTTCTGGAGCCCTTCATCTGCAGCTCCCAATAAAGTACTGCTATCCAGAACATAGAAGGAATATACTGAAAACTCAAAAATAAAAAAATGAACAACCCAATATTAAAATAGGCTAAAGATCTTAATACACCAAAGAAGATATACAGATGGCAAATAAACATAGTGAAAAGATGCTCAACACTGTATGTTATTAGGCAATTGCAAATCAAAACAACAAGGAGAGCCCGTTATAAAACAAATAGAAATGGCTAACATCCAAAGTACTGATAATACCAAATGCTAGTAAGGATGTGGAACAACATGAATTGTCATACATAACTGGTGGGAGTGCAAAATGGTATTAATAAATCAATCGTTTAGGAAGACTGTGGCAGTGTCTCAGAAAAGTAAACATACTCTGGTGTTACATTGGACCCAGCACCCTCAGTATTTAATAGTCAAAGGAGTCCTCACAGAAACCTGCATGTGGATGTTTATAACCGCTTTATTAGTGACTGCCAAGACTTGGAAGCAACCAACATGTCTTTCTGTAGGTGAATGGATAAACAAACTGGTACATCCAGATAATGGAATACTATTAAGCACTTTAAAAAAGAGCTATCAAGTTATAAACACATGGAGGAACCATAAATGTATATTATTAAGTAGAAGAAGCCAATCTGTTTGATTACATCTATATGACATTCTGTAAAAGGCAAACCCATGGGGGCAATACAGTGATGAGTGGTTGCCAAGAGTGGAGGGAGGGAGGGATGAGTAGGCAGAGTTACAGAGGATTTTCTTTTGGGTGTTGAAACTATTCTGTATACTTTAATGATGGATATAAGACATTATGTGTGGACTTCTCTGACAGTCCAGTGGTTAAGAGTCTGCCTTCAAAAGCAGGGGGTGCAGGTTCGATCCCTTGTCAGAAAGCTAAGATCCCACGTGCCCCATGGCCAAAAAACCAAAACATAAAACAAGTAATATTGTAAAAAGAATTCAATAAAGACTTTAAAAATAGTCCACATTAAAAAAAAAATTGTTTAAAGAAGAAAAAGACATTATGTGTTTGCCAAAACCCGTAGAAAGTACAACACAAAGAGCAAACCTTAATATAAATTATGGACTTTGGTGAATTAAGAAAAAAAAAGTGAAATGGGATGAAAGAAGAAAAATATGATAAGTAGTTTTTGGAAACTTTAATTTCCGAAATTGTTTTTTATGGTGCTCCTTTGCCTTTTTGGCATTATAGTGTCATCAGTGGTTTAATTTCATGACATGTCTCCCATTTCTGTTGTTTAAGACACATGGAACAAGAAAAATAAATTATTTATATGTTTTTTAAAGTGTTAGTCTGTTTTTTTCTTTTTAAAGTGGATTAGAGAATCCACTAATGAATTTTTCCAAAGCATAGTTTGGAATTACTTCCCCATATTGCACCTTTGGGATTTGAATACTTTTTTGCTAAAAATGCAAAATTTTCTTTACTACCATTTTAATATTAGCACTTGGAAACCTTCAACATATTGGTTTCAGAATTGGGACTGTTTGTTTTTAAAAAATAGACAGTGTCTTGTAAAATATGTACAGATTTTTTTCATGTCCATGGAGTGATTCCTGCACCCCCCATCTCAGGAGAAAAAAAAAGAAATCAGTAAATTGTTATTTTATGCAGTTAAATATGGGAAAAGTTTTAGCTTTACTGACTAAATTTACCTTTCTATTCAGATAGAAATCCTCTGGTGATCTGATAGGTTCAGTACAACCCTTTAACTGGATTCTGAACAAAATCCTCTGGGTCATTAAGATTGTCATTGGACAAGAATTCAGTCACTGGGATAAGCAGTATTGTTATGCTGTTCTTTAGTTGTCTAGTTTTAACCTTCCCACTACACTTAGATCTAACGGGAATGTGACTGAGATGAGAGGCGGGGGGCAGGGGACATGGGTGATTGGTTATTAGCTCTTTGGTTTATCAGTGCCAGGCAGTTTTGGAATGGCCAGTGTTTGGTTCTTCATTCAGTGTTCCAGTCTATCTTTTAATTTATATTTTCTTACATTGATTTAAATTCATTGATATAATACTACTTAACAGTATTCAATACAATCTTAAATATTCCATTTAATTTCTATAACTAGTCCATCTATTGCCCTGTTGTTGACCTGAATCTGACTGATCAGGTCCCATTTAAGAGCAGAGCCCAACTCGCCACAGCAGGTGATGGTTAGGTGTTAGGAAGTAACGTTTTCCCTGCGTGATCCTTCAGGAAGCTGACCTTGTTACGACTCACGAATTGGGGCACAACTTTGGAGCAGAGCACGACCCAGACGGTCTGGCGGAATGTGCCCCAAATGAGGACCAGGGAGGGAAGTACGTCATGTACCCCATAGCTGTGAGCGGTGACCACGAGAACAATAAGGTACCTGTCTTCTGGTGCTTTTTTTTTAATGTGATTAGGTAAGAAGAGATGATGCTGAATGATAATGAGAGCCCAGAAAAGCTTTCCATTCATGCTGCAGTCCACAGGGTCACATGACTGAGTGACTGAGTGACTGACCGACAACAGCTAGGGATGGAACTGCACGTTACCAAGTACCGTGAAACATGGTCCATCTAAATCTGCCCATTTGGACTGTGTGTTGTCAAGGTTAATCATGTGTTGCTTTGAGCTGTATGGAAAATTCCTTACTTAATGCCTTGCACTAGAGTCCTAGTTTGCAGGGTCTGGTGGGCTCAGACTTTCAGTTAAAATTTTCTTTCATTTACAGGCGTATCACTCATATTAACTCTACATTGCTTCACAATTTGCATGTTTTAATAAACTTTTGCAACAAAATATGTATAATTTGCCAGATGTAAGTGTCCTGTGGGTCAGGCCCTTTCCTTTCTGGTTTACAGCTCTGTCTTTAGTGCTCATTCGGGGTACCTGGTATGCAGTAAATACTATTTACTTTGTCAAGTAAGTAGAGCGATCATATTCTGTTGAAGGTGTTTGGAATACTCGACACTCGTTGACTTGGGACATGGGAAACAGCTTCAGAGACTTCCTGAGAGTGGCTGTGACTCACTCGTAGAGTCTGAACTGAAAGTCTTCATAGACATCTGTCTGGTTCTTTTTACTTTTTGCAAGAGAATGGAAAGTGGTGCTGAAAATTCCAAGCTTCTAATCATGACTTGGTCTTTCTGGTGACCAGTGCCCACTTAGGAGCCCATTCAGAGTCTGCTCATTACAACCAAAGACACTCCTATTACCTAGGAAATTATGGAGGTTTCAGGAGCTCTGTGCCCAGAGCTGTGGCCAGAGACGAGTGTATGTTCTATACTGTCTCATGAGGGTCTTGTGCTCTCTGCTCCTCAGGGGTCTCATGGTGCTTGTCCGGGTGGCAGATGAAGACATGGTAGTCATTTGCAGACTGTGGAGGCCCTACCTCTAAAAGTACTCGGGCTGAGTTTTACCCAAATCTTTTTCTGCTTTTCTTGATATTTTCAAATTGTTTGGGAACTGGACTCTTATTTTAGAGCATCAGGAAAAATGCCCAAATATAGGTCATTTCTGTGGTTTTGCATATCAAGTGGACAAGCTAGGGGTCAACTGTAGCAACTCAAACTTAAGATCTTGGGAAGCAATGAAGACGTTTAGGTAATAATTTGGAATTTAATCTTTTAATAGACTGTATATATACACACACACATATGTATATGTAGTATCACACCTCTTACTAAACTCAACTGTTAAAACACTTTAAACATGGATGGCTGATGTAAACTCAGGGAATCAGAGCAGACGTGTTCTTCAGGCCTGGATTATTGTATCTAGGAAGACAGGGGTCTGCCTGGTTCTCAGTGTTCCTGCAGTGGCTTAGTCTGGTGGCTCTCTGCTCATGCCTGACTGGTGTGGGTGTTTGGTCTCAGCATTTGTGTAGCTTACTTTCCTGTGAAGAATTTTAGGCTCTTTACTAATTCACATAATGTTTCTAGCCTCCTGCAGAGGAAGATGCCGTGCAAATGGCATTTAAAGGTGACAGTGAACCCGATAAGCCTTCAAGCTGGTTTTGGTTGTGGCTTTTGTGTTAAAGTTTGTCCCTGGAGAATAAGCACAAACACTACCTGAATTTTTATGTTATCTTGGGTCCTATGTGGCCTTTTTTCTCTTAAGATGTTTTCAAACTGCAGTAAACAGTCCATCTATAAGACCATTGAAAGCAAGTCCCAAGAGTGTTTCCAAGAACGCAGCAACAAAGTGTGCGGGAACTCCAGGGTGGACGAGGGCGAGGAGTGCGACCCCGGCATCATGTACCTCAACAACGACACTTGCTGCAACAGTGACTGCACGCTGAGGCCGGGTGTGCAGTGCAGGTGAGGGGTGAGGCATGGTGGGTATTTGGGTGCCTAACGAGGGGTCCCCACAATGGTGGGCTGAAAATGCAGGGCCTTTAGAATCATTAGAGGGCCTGTAAAGTGTGTGTCTACCCCTGTACAGCAAGAAAAATGTTTTTTGGAAAGCAATTTGACATTCCTCAGTCGTGCATCCTCTCTGCTGTAGTGATGCCATAGTACAGAGAATCCTAAGGAAGCAGAGATGTACAAAGATGACTTAGCAAGGACGTTCATGGCCACATTCTTTCATAACAACAATCCTAGGACATAAACTCATTCCTGTGTATCTATGCTGTAGAATAGCATTGAAGAATGCCATTGAATCACAGAAACTAAACGTGGAGGAAGGTTTAGTTACAAACCTCTAACTTGTTACAGGTTACAAGTTAGAAGCTCTTATATTTCCATTTTTAATGTCCTGTGCCTGGCTTAGAAGTAGAGGGGGTAACTTTAATTTATGGTGAATGCCAGATTTAACTGTATACAGTGCATATTAACACTGTAGATACTGACTAGGCTGGCTAGTTTCTTGACTACTGATTGCCTTGTGGGGTTGTTTTTTGTGGGGGGTTGTTTTTTTTGCTTTAATTTTTGTCTGGGTCATGCGGCATGAGGGATTTTAGTCCCCTGACCAAGGATTGAACTGATGCACCCTGCATTGGGAGCACGAGTCTTAACCACAGGACCACCACGGAAGTCCCTTTTTTAAAAAAAGAAAAAAAATGTATTAAGTGAATGAAAACCAGAGACACGAAGGTGTTTTAAAGATGAGTCACTGTGGACCACTGCTGCCCGTGTCTGCATCGGGAAGGGCAGAGGGACTCTGTCCAGTGGTGCCAGCACCTGGGAATCTGCAGGAGTGGGTGGCCCCAGCCAGGAGGCTCTAACCTGCCCTCTCGGGGCCCTGGGACATGACCATAGTCTGTGCTGTGAAGCTGGCCATTGACTTGGACTGCGTGCTGTTCCTCTGCAGTGACAGGAACAGTCCTTGCTGTAAAAACTGTCAGTTCGAAACGGCCCAGAAGAAGTGCCAAGAGGCTATTAACGCTACTTGCAAAGGCGTGTCTTATTGTACAGGTATGTCCTCCTGGTGGTTCTCCTAGAATAATTTGTTCAGATGGGTATGCCTGTGTTTGCAAGCAGAGTTAATGTTCATTCAGATGAACTTTTACCTCACAGACAGAGTTGAGTTGATCGCAGCACGCTTCGCATTGGTCACTGCAAGACCTGTGATCATTCACTTCCATTCTCCTTTCCCTCATAGGCATCAGCTTTAATGTCTTTGATATTTGCCTGGATAGGTGTATGTCCTTGAGATAATGTGTTATTTTTTGTTGCTGTTGTTGTTGAGTTGCTAAGTTGTTTGTCCAACTCTTTGTGACCCCATGGACTATAGCCCTCCAGGCTCCTCTGTCAATGGGATTTCCCAGGCAGGGATGCTGGAGTGGGTCACCAGTACCTCCTCCAGGGGATCTTCCCGACCCAGGGACTGAACCCGTGTCTCTGCATCTCCTGCAGTGGCAGGCAAAGTCTTTACCACTGAGCCACCTGGGAAGCCCGTTATTTTCTGTGCGTGTGTATATATATATATATTTTAATATTATTTATTTGGCTGCACTGGGTCTTCGTTGCAGCATGTGGGCTCTAGTTTCCTGACCAGGGATCGAAATCGTGGCCCCCTGCAGTGGATCACAGAGTCTTACCTATTGGACTACCAGGGAACTCTATACATGTGTGTTTCTAATGTGCCAAAATGATACTCTACATTAGCTCTTTTTTGAAAACTCAGTGCCATGTTTTTACAATTGTGTTTTCTATTGGTTTGTATTTCTGTGTATGTCTAGTTCATTGTTTTGGGCCCTTGCTGGGTTTCCAGTGATTTACTGTGTTTGCTTATCTGTTCACCAAGCAATAGCTGCTAGGGTTTCTCTGCTAATACTGCCCATAGGACTACACTGGGCATCCTCACACGTCTCCTGTGGGAGCCATGAGGGCTGCCTGGGTGCATAGGGAAGCACGGAATTGCTTAGTTGTGGAGGGTAGCACTCCAGTGGTCTCTGGAACAGCAGTGTGGGTTAGTCAGTGCCACCGTGGGGTGTCCAGGTTCCTGTATTCTGATGTCCTTGTCAACACACTGTATTATGTAGCTCTTTTTTGCCAGTCTGAGTGTAAAGTGATTTCTTCTCCTTATTTACATTTTTCATGAACATCTCTATATTTGTTAGCTATTTAGATTTCTTCTGTGCATAATTAGTTCATTTATTTGGTCCATTTATAAAAACTGGGTTTAAAAAAAAAATTGGGTTTAATATTTGCTATTATTGATTTGGAGTTCTTTTATGATAATCCATCTGGTTTAAATACTGCATATGCCTTCCTCCTATCTGTTGACCTTTTGGAACAGAAATCTTTCTCTTGAATCAAATCTGTCATTTTGTTTCTGTGTGTATTTTTTTGAGTTGTGGATCACTACAAAGATATTTTCCACAGTTGGTTCTGTTAGCTTCATAATTTTATCTTTTACCTTTAGGACTTTAATCTATCTGGAGCTAGTTTTAAGATTATCTGTATTGATTGTCAATATTCCCTGTAGTTCTGCCAGTTATTCCTTTCAAAAAATCTCCAAGCTGTATTATCAGGTACATGTTCTCCACATCTTGGTCTTGCTATTCCTTCATCACTATGTAATGCTCCTTTCTGACCCTTGTGATTTAAATTTTTTTTTTTTTAATTTTTGAAACTTTTATTGGAGTACAGTTGATTTACAGTGTTATGTTAGTTCCAGGCACACAGCAGAGTAAATCAGTTATGCATATACTCTTTTAAATTGTTTAATATTCAGTTTGCTGCCTGTGTGGTCATGGTGTCCTTCTTCTTTGTCTGGTGTACCTATCCCGTCTTATATTTTTTAATTTATATATCCTTTGGTTGCTTGGCTTGATTTTTGTAACCGCTTTATTGAGAGATAATAAGCATATCATACCACCTGTCCACTGGAAGTGTAAGTTCAGTGGTTTCTAGTATATTCATGTTTGTGCATCCACCTACCAGTCAGTTTTCATTGCCTCAGAAAGAAACCTATACCCTTTAGCTATCATTTTGAATCTCCTCATCCTCCCAGCTTCAGACAACCACTATACTTTCTATGTTGATGGATTTGCCTAATCTGGATGTTTCATATAAATGGGATCATACAATATGTGTGCTGCTTTCAGAATGTTTTCAAGATTTATCCATGTTGTAGCATGAATCATTCCTTCATTTATTTTTATTGCTAAATAATATTCCATTGTATGGATATATCACATTTTCTTATTCATCGGTTGATGAATTTTGGATTGTTGCTGCTCTTTAGCTGCTGTGAGTAAAGCTACTATGCAGATTTGTGTGCAAGTTTTGGTGTAGACTTAGGCTATTTCTCGTGTGTATGTGTGTATCCAGTTGTAGAATTGCTGGGTCCTGGGGTACATCTGTTTAATCCTTTGAAGAACTGCTGGGCTGTTTTCCAAAGTGACTGCACCATTTTACATTCCCACCAGCGTGTGTGAAGGTTCCAATTTCTACAAATCCTCACCAATGCTTGTTATTATTTGTCTTATTTTTTTGGCTGTTCTGCACAGCATGCAAGATCTTAGTTCCCCGACCAGGGATCAAATCCATGCCCCCTGCGGTGGAAGTGTGGTCCTGACCATTGGACTGCCAGGGAATTCCGTCTTTCTGATCACAGCCATTCTACTGTGTCATCTGTGTTATTCGGTAGTTAATGTAAGTCTGCTTCTGTGGGGAAAAGGGCAGAGTCCTTAAAGTTCACAGACCTTTAAGTCTGAATTCTTTTGATTGGTTCCATTCCTCACTTGGGGGCTTCCCTGGTGGCTCAGCTGGTAAAGAATCTGCCTGCAGTGGGAGATCTGGGTTTGATCCCTGGGTTGGGAAGATCCCCTGGAGAAGGGAAAAGCTATCCACTCCAGTATTCTGGCCTGGAGAATTCCATGGGGTTGTAAAGAGTCAGACACAACTGAACAACTTTCACTTTCATTCCTCACTTGAAAGGCCAGGCCTGTGGTGTCTTTGTACAGTCGTTTCTCTCTTCCCTTTTAGCGTTGACTTTTAACTGCTTGTGCTTCTCGTTTTCCAGAATGAGTCACTCGTTTCACGCATTCTTCTGAATTTAACATTTTTGGGTGGCTTTTCTTTGTCTTTAAGAATCATTGATTCTTTCAAGAAATGTCTCTGGTTTACCTACAGTGTGACAGATTGGACATACATTGATTCATTAATAGACTTGGTTTTTGCTCTCATAGAGCTTACCAGTCTGGTGGTCAGAAACAGAAAAGAACCACAGATGATCAAATAGATGCAAATTGTAAGATGTGCTGTGAAGAGAAGTGGTGTGTAGTGATGGGGCCTGATAGGGTGAGGGGCCTCCAGCGGAGGTGGGGGCCTCGGGTTGTCTGCGGGAGGAGATACTTGAGAGAAAATGTAAAGGGTGAGGAACACTGGCCAGGACTCCTGAAGGAGAGAGACAGGAACCCTCTGGGGGACTGAGCAGCGTGTGTTAAGGTTCTGAGGTGAGACGAATGGAAGAAGGTGAAGAAGGGTGGCCGTGGTCGTGTGGGCTGGGGAGGACTGTGGGCAGGAGGCTCTCCGGGGGAGTGTGCGGTCAAGTCAGGGCTCACAGGTGTCTTTTACTAGTGGCAGTAGTAGGGATCTGTTTTATATACACATTTTTATACGCACGTTTTGTTTCACTACGAAGAGGTAAAAGCAGGATACCTGGAACATGTAGATCCTGATGGAGGCAAGGCTGCAGGGCTGAGTGGACACTGGGCAGCGTAGTGCTTGGCGCAGTGCTTCCCAGCTCCCAATGGAGCAGGTCCGGGTGACTCACGGTGACCGTGTGCCCCGCACTGCAGGTAACAGCAGCGAGTGCCCGCCTCCCGGAAACGCCGCCGATGACACCGTGTGCCTGGATCTCGGCAAGTGTAAGGATGGCAAGTGCGTGCCCTTCTGCGAGCGCGAGCAGAGGCTGGAGTCCTGTGCGTGTAATGGTGAGCGTGTGTCTGTAGCAGGAGGGGCGGAGGTGGCCCTTGCCTGCCAGCCCGACCCCGCCCCTGGGGGCCTGGAAGGGTCAGGGCAGCAGCGGAGCTCATGTACATGAGGCTCTGCTCCGTTTCAGAAACCGACAACTCGTGCAAGGTGTGCTGCAGGGATCCCTCAGGCCGCTGCCTGCCGTATGTCGACGCCGAACAGAAGAACTTATTTTTGAGGAAGGGCAAGCCCTGTACAGTAGGCTTCTGTGACATGAATGTGAGTATTTATTTATGTAGTATTTATTCATGTGACACTTTTGTCTTGTAAATGCTTAGCTTTGCAAATGGAAGGAAATCAGAACACAGAGGGTGCCACATCTGACCACTGTCCTTGTGTGAGAGTCCAGGTAGGTTCCGAGGGTGTCTCCAGAGACCACACAGGCCCTATGGGCTTCATGCTAAAGCTGGTTGCTTTTATGCAGTGAGTCCCACTTACATACTCTTGCCTGGAAAATCCCATGGACAGAGGAGCCTGGTAGGCTACAGTCCATGGGGTTGCAAAGAGTTGGACACAACTTCACTTCCCACTTGGTTTTCTCCGCTAATTGTAAAACTCATGCTGCAGAACTGTGGGCTCTGACCTTGAAATGGGTACAGAGTAGGTAGGAATGACCTGCCAGCGGCCTGACCCACCTTCATCAGATCCTTGTGCTCCTCATAGAAACACGACTAACCTGGCACGCTCACAGAAGAGGGTTGCTAGGGGCTTGGGAGGCTTCTGCAGGCTTCTGGGTGGGTGGGTTGTGTGTGTGTGTGAGATCAGTGCCGCTTTACTGGAGTTGGCCCGTCTTTAACAGCCTGGTTCTCTGGAGTCTGCCTGCTGGTGACTCTCGGTTCACTCATAAAAACGGGCTTTCGGGCCTCATCTCAGTGTGTCACAGGTGGGTCCCTTTTCACGTTATGTGTTTTAACGTGAAGGAAGCCACGCTCCTTCTAAACGCATGGCCCTTGAGGTAACACCTGAGGTTTTCTGTTCTCAGGGCAAATGTGAGAAGCGAGTGCAGGATGTCATCGAGCGTTTCTGGGAGTTTATTGACAAGCTGAGCATCAATACTTTCGGTATGTGGTTTCCCCGGGTGGGAGGCTGCTTAGAACTGAGCTGACTTCCCTGACAACGTAAGAAAGTGTGGTTTCAGACTGATATGCCCGAATCCTGCAGTGGGGTTCCCCGGTGGCCCAGTGGGTAAAGAATCCTCCTGCGATGCAGGAGACCCAGGTTCGATCCCTGGGTTGGGAAGATCCGTCGGAGAAGGAAATGGCAACCCGCTCCAGTGTTCTTGCCTGGAGCACCCCCGTGGACAGGGCAGCCTGGCGGGCTCTAGTCCAGGGGGTCACAGAGTCAGACACGACTGAGCGACTAACAGTCCTGCAATAGAGGAGGGAAACAGTCACCACTTACGTTCTGAAATGACTTTGTTGGCTAAAAAAAAAAAAATGGACTTACAGGTCTGCACCCGTATAGCATGGATACACAGATTTTCAGACAAGGGAAAAGAAAGTACAGACTGCTTTACTGGAAATGAACTCTTGACAGCATAATGTGCAGTGCATCAGATTGTAGACTGCAAGCTGTAGATTGCCAGAATCCTGCTTGATGTGAGAATCATTTATTTACAAGTGGGTCTCAGATTTTCCAGAAGTGAGGATGCACACTGTGTCCTCTAGGGTGCATAATTGAGTTTAGTCCCAGAAATAACCATGGGACCCAGACAGCAGCAGCACTGTCTTGGCGGGCATCATTCCTAGTACGAGCCTCCTCCAGCAGGAGCCCCCTGCACCATCCCTCTGGGGACCGGTGGGCCCCCCATGATGTGACGTGTCCTCCACAAGTGCGCTGGGCCGTTCTGGGGAAAGTGCCCATGTGTGGGGAGGTGCTTGGGTCTTGTGTGGGTGGCATGGGTCCAGCCTCTCAGTACCGGCTCCATCGCGGTACCCCGCTGGCAGTCTGTGCCCCCGACACCTGGTGATACTCTAAGAATGCTGCTTTTTGACTTCTGAGTCCTTGCTCAGGACATTCACTGTTTGGAACTGTTCATAGGGAAGTTTCTGGCAGACAACATCGTTGGTTCCGTCCTGGTTTTCTCCTTGATATTCTGGATTCCTTTCAGCATTCTGGTCCATTGTGTGGTAAGTCACCAGTTTTTAAGTAATTGAAACATTTTGTTAAACTTGAGCACCTCTAACCATAGAGCTGTTTTGAAAAGATAGAATTTATTCTTAGAAAACTCTGACCTATTTCTAATGACATTGTTGGTGTTACCCCTAGGAAAGCATATCTTGTTAAAAGACTAAATTTTTAAAAATGGTATTTTTTGTGTGTGGCCGTTTTGTTCTCAAGTGTGTAATTTCTGAGGGATTTTATACTTTCTAAGCACCAGAGACTCTGTAGCTGGACTTGTCTAGGACTTCTGAGTGAAGCTGTGGAACGAGCATTTTCAGGCTGTTGTCACAGCGCAGATTTTCAGGCTATTGTCACAACCAGCAGCCGTCCAGAGACACTGCCCCGTCTTGTCCAGGGTCCCAGCAGCACCATTTGGGGTGTTCGGATCCTTCCCTCTGAGGACACTGAGCAGTCGTTTGTTCAAGACAAGTAACAGCTAACAAGCTTGGTTGCACTTTGAGAAGCTCCAGTACTTCATAAGTTTTCTTAAAAATCCATTCTCCTTGCTTCAGTGGCAAAGTGAGGATCTGCCTGCTGTGCAGAGATGAGGAACTCAGACCCAGGCTTCCAGGCTTTTCCTCTGAAACCCCTGAGCAGGGTCCCTCCCGTGAGCACTTGGGAAGTTCCAATGCAGGGAACTCCAGTCTTCCTGGCCCCGGCTACCTTCCCTTACGGCGCTATCTCGTGAGGGTCCTTCCTCAGGTTGATGAGCCTGGTGGGCCTGAGGCAACCTCTGCTCAAGCCCAGCTCTGTTAAAAGAGTTGAAGCTCTGACACATGGTAACAGTACCATCCACTACAGAGGCCTGGCCTTTGATTTCTGAGCAGAGCTGCCGACAGGAGGGCGGGCAGTGGCTGGTTTCCAAGCACAGAAGACGGTCAGGGCAGTCAGGCCTGGGCTCGGCCTCCTGCCTCGCCCATGGTCACCCGTCACTAGTCAGCCCCAGACAGGGAGCAGGGCAGAGGCGGGGACCGTGTGTCCAGCCTTCCAGAGTATGACTTGAGGGCCGGTTTGGGACTTGAGACCTAGTTCCTCCCAGAGTTTGGGCCACAGAAGCTCACGACACGCTGAGAAGAGTACTGAGGCTGGGGGGTCTGGGGCACTTTGAGGTCAATGCCAAGTGAGGCCACAGGCCTGCCCCTCCGCCTCCCAGGGCTGCCCTCGGGTCAGCCTCATCTCTGAGCGCGGAGCATGCATGGAGGTGTCCTGGTTGTTCCTGCCCAGGGCGTGAGGCGAGTCTCTCAGAAAGACAGCAAACCTTGCCTGTTTCTGCAGTTAACACCAAAAAGCATACTTCCTTCAAGTGTAAGAGGAAACACTTGTGGCAGAACCCCTCAAGCATGAGTAGAACTCACATTCTCACCTGCTGGACCTGCTCCCTCTTCCTTCGACTCAAGCTCTAAGCTAGCTCTTCACTAGTTTACTGTTAGGAGGGGCTCAGGAGGACCGAGCCTGTACTGAGCAGGTTGTAGGAATGACCCCACTCTTCTTGTCTTTCTAGGATAAGAAACTGGATAAGCAGTTTGAGTCTCTGTCTCTGTTCCACCCCAGTGTAAGTATCTCACACAAAAGGAAGTCATTTTCAATTGTGTTTGGAGGCGTGCTAAGCAGAGACCTTCACTGGCCTCCCCAGCTGCGCCTTCTTTGGCTGGAGGGCCACTCTCTGGCAGGCAGGATTTGAACGTGAATTCTCATGATGGTGACCTTTTAGTCAGTCTCTTGGATGGAGACTGATACTACGAGGAGCGCCGCTTGGCTGTGCCCTCCCTGCAGCCCTGAGTGGTTGGCTGTTCAGTGCTGACTTATTTTCACGTTTGGAGAGCTTTTCCTGTCTTGGGATCTTAACTTGACAAAGGTTCTTCTGACTCTCTTGGGTCTTCACACACGGGTTGTCAGAGGACACTTGGCAACTGTTTAATTGCTTTCCTCAGAAGGTGGGTGGGGATCAGGGTGCTGACAGGTGCGGCCGTCTGGTGGGGCTCACCCCCTGCCCCGTCTCTCTCCAGAACGTCGAGATGCTAAGCAGCATGGACTCAGCATCGGTGCGCATCATCAAGCCCTTTCCTGCGCCCCAGACCCCTGGTCGCCTGCAGCCCACCCCTGTGATGCCCCCCGTGCCCTCCGCACCCCTGGCCCCAAAGCTGGACCACCAGCGGATGGACACCATCCAGGAGGACCCCAGCACAGACTCGCATGCCGACGAGGATGGCTTTGAGAAGGATCCTTTCCCAAATAGCAGTGCAGCTGCCAAGTCGTTCGAGGACCTTACAGACCATCCGGTCACCAGAAGTGAAAAGGCCTCGTCCTTCAAGCTGCAGCGTCAGAACCGTGTGGACAGCAAGGAGACCGAGTGCTAGTTCCCAGCCACATACTGGGCTCTCTGACTTCATGGACAGAATATTTTTTATGAATTTGACCTCAAATCACTGCATATTTTTTGTGAGGATTTGAGAGAAATAAGGAAGTGACTTCACAGCAGATGCTGGTCATGTGTTTGGACTTCCTTTGCATACATAATACTGGTGTGGTCAGGCCCTTTTCCTTTGAAGAGGTAAGGTGAATCTGGCTTACTTTGAGGCTTTCAGGTTTTAGTTTTTTTGATCTTTATCTTTCAACCTGTGGTGCAAAAGCAGAAACTATGGCTGGATTAGGTTATGAATATTTACGTTTTTGTAAATTAACTTTTTACATGAGAACAGCACTGATTAGGGAGATGATCAGTTTCTTTTTTAAATACACTGTAATGACCTGGCGAACATAGGCATAGTGGTTTGTGTGTGAGGGTAACAGGACACAGATTTCCTTTTTGCCTTCAAGACAAAGGGAGATAAAACCAACAAGTTATACATTATCTCCAAAATGTGGGTTCTGTTTCTAGGTAATACCTAGAACTTGTAACAAAAGGGAACTAAGTTAGTTAGGTTAATATTTCCTAATTCTAAATTGTTAGAATTTCTAATTAATTTCTAGAATTAAAACAATCTAGCTTATAGTGAAGGTTACAAATTATAGCCAAATGAATCTACAAAATCCTCCCAACTGTTTTTGGACCCTAGTTAGCTTGGGCAGTTTTTCTGTTTTGTAAGTATCTTCATGTATCAGCACTGTTACCATGCTCTTAAAACATTTGCCATTCAGAAACCTGAACTACTTCAGAGTAAGAGTATGGTTGCCTCTGCTCAAACACTAGTGGCCAAGAGGGTGTGTGAGGTGGTTCTTGCCAAAGGAACAGGGTGTGATGTGCTGGCCTGGGGCTTTCTTCCCACACAACTGACTTCTAAAAACCCTTGGTATTCACCTGTGTTCGTTCTTGATCTAGTGCTTCAGTAACGTCTGCGTTCACTATGTGAAGGATAAAAACCATCAGGTTGAATTCTGATCTGCTTTAAAAGCTTTTCTTCCCCTGCTAAATACTGAAATGTGCTCACCAGTCAACACATTTTAACTGAGATAACTTGTAAGCTTTGAGGGCAATCATCCAAACCTGTAACAAATCGTATCTTTTTTCCTAAGGACGTTTGTTACGCAGATACCTGTTACACTAATACTTGAACTTGTACCTTATGGTATTTGCTCTCTTTAACTAGTCATTGATATTCTTACATTGTAGTTACACTTCTGCAGTCGGATAGAAGGTGAGTGGGGTGTGTGGGTGTATGTATGAGTGAATGTAAGAAAACCATTTTTTATAAAATTGTGACTTTTTAAGAAAAAACTGTCTTATCTTTTTTTCCACTTATTAACAAGCTGCTCTGGGCATATTTTGTAGCTGTGGCACAGATGACACCTGCATCAATCAATAAATATTTATTATCAAAACATGATGTACCTAGGTACAAAGCTGTCCTAAGAAAATTCTAATGATTTTATTCATCTTGGTGGCAGATAGTACTTTTTTCCCAAAGTCATGAGTAAAATACTTGAAACGTTTTTAAAAAAAATCGTTTGGCCACTTATCTTGGGGTCTTTGTGCACCAGCGACTTCATGTTCTGTAGATAGACAGCGGAACCTGGTTCTCAGTGACTAGTGGTCCCCATCTCCCAGGAGACTGAGTTCCGGTCTTGCTTCTGCTATGTCTCGCCAGTAGGGGAGCAGAAAAGGCAGGGAGGAGACTTTCTTCTCTATCAAAGGCCAGAGATGGGAGAATACAAACTCATTTCCTTTTGGTGATAAATGTAGTCCGTCTGACAAATAGGAGGAAAAGTCCTGTGAGGGGGAGAGAGCTCGATTAAAGGCGTGTGCTGGTCTGCCAGCAGGTCCCCAGCCTGATGGGCAGCCGTCTGGAGCTGCCCTAGCTCGTCCCATGCCCACCTCTGCAGAGGCCCCTACCATCTATGTAGGACACACAGAGCACCCCAAGCTCACAGCATCAGAAAGCACCTGAGCTGATGCGTCCTTCCAGCTCAGCAGATGCGAGAAGACAGTGAGTGAATACAGCACTCGACTATGATCAACAAAGTGAAACTCGTGAAAAACAGCTTGCTTGACACACTGGGCCCTGAGCTGTCTTGACCCTCAGTCTGGATATTATATTGACAGGTGCGCGATCTGTACCATCCATTCAAGAGTCCAGACCCCCCTGGCCCCCGATCTCAGGAACACTGACCGTGGGAGCCCTTTCTCCTCTGGGGAGGGGTCTTCCCCCTCTGCTCTAGCCCCGCCCCGCCTGGCAGAATAGGGAGCTGGCTCAGGACTTGCAGGCTGCACCACTCCTGGGCCTTAGTTTCCTCTGCTCTGCTGAAGTCCGAGCAGGTGACCGCCAAGGAAGACCTTCCCAGCTCTAGACCCCTGGAAAGTTCTTTCGGACGTGATGCACTGAGAGCTGCTAGCCCCTTTTCTCTAGCAACAGTGCTTTCTCATGCCATCTGACCATTTACTGCTCATTCGTCTCACTGTGTGCCAACTCCTGTCAGAGGGGTTCCCAGAGCATGATGCCAGCTGCTGAATGCAGGGAGAGAACATAGCCAAACCAGGGGCACTGCGACTGCAGGCTCTCCCGGAGCCTCTCCAGGTCCTCCCCCGCATCCAATCCACCCCAGCGGGGGAGAGGACCACCCATCCGACCCTCTGCACCGGGTCCCCGCCAGGACTGTGCACACCACTTTACCTGACCGTCCTTCTGCATTAGGGTCCACAGGTCAAGTGCCTCAGCCCCGCAGTCCTGGGCTACTTGTAAACAGGCCCTGGCATATTCACCAACAACTGAGTTCAGGCGATTTAATTTGCAGCCTATTGAGAAAAGAAAATCCAGGTGCAACCAACAGACCCAGGAGCTGGCCCCTCTGTGCAAGCCCTACGACCTGGAGGGCTTCTCAGCGCAGGTGAATGGGTATACCTGCTGACGGACCCAAGCTGGCCCACCATGGGGCTCAGGGGACACAGGACGGGCCTCGCAGGTCAGGCGTGTCCTGCTCCCCAGCACGGAACCAAGGCTGATGGAGCCATGAAGGGCGTTTAGGGGACACCAGACAGACCGGCAGGGGGACCTGAGTTGCCTGGCTAGAGCCCTGGTTGGAGGTGGATGGAGTCAGGCTGGGGGTCAGCGCGGGGTGTGTGGGGAAGACTGCGGGGCCCACATGCCTGAACTGGCATATGGAATGAGAGGCCACTGCCGGACGGGGGAAGAGCCACCCTTCGACTTTGAACCAGAGGAGGTGAGAGCCGGATGAGACCACAGCAACTCACTCAGTTTCTCTGCAAAGGGCTGGCCCCTACATGCTTTCTGTCGACAGGAAACATGATGGGAGCTCTTCTGTGACCTCTGTTGACTAAAGCAGGAGTTACAGACCCCTGAGGACGCAGCCCTGTGTCCGGGAGCCCACTCTCACCTTGCTGGAGGCACTCCTGCGCCCACGCGGCCTCACAGAGCGGGGGCGGCGTGATGAAGATGAGCCTGCCCTCGGGCACGTCCACGGACTGCAGGTACCGCACCATGCTCCTCAGGTTCGCCGCGAACTCCTCCAGGGGCACGTGCTGCTTGGGGTTCTCGTCTGTTCGGGAGGGAGACGGACACTTCAGCCCCAAAGCAGGGTTGTTTTAACGGGTGACAGGTCAGGCTGACGCATGTTCACAGGTGGGCCCCAATCGTGACGTTGCCAGGGAACTGTGTGGCACCGAGGGCAGGGAAGGGGGGAAGAGTTCCAACGCAGGGTTCTTCATAAAACAGACTTCAGCGGCCCTGGCTTGGAGCCTTGTAAGTGCGCTTGCCTCTCCTGCTTTCCTGTCCTGTGGTCATGAACCCAATAGGCTGGGTTTGTAAATGAGACCCCAGCTGTGGAGGGAACCTGCCCAGGTTCTAACCTGGCTTTGCCACTGGTTGGTCTTGTGCCCTTGGACAAATGATCCACCTTTCTGCCCCTCCGTTTCCTGCTGGTAAAATGGGGGTGACAGCAGGGTTGACCTCATGGGGTTGCTGTGAGATTACATCAGCAAGTGTGTCAGGACTTACAGCAAGGTGCCTGCCGGGAAGGAAACTCTCAATAATGAGCTAAGCCACAGCTGTCATCACTGCAGAGGTTTCCTTCTAGACAGGCTCATACAGGCTCGCTGCAGGTTTTTGCAAACCCCACAGAAGTATAATTCAGGAGGAAAGTAAAAGCACTCATGATCCTACCACCCAGAAAACCAATGTTGGCACTTGGTCATATTTCTTTTCAGTCCTTTCCAAGCCGATATGTATACTTCAAAAAAAAAAAACGAAAAGACAGATCACACTAAAGATAAATGACCATACTGTGTTTTTTTAAACATATAAGCATGTGTGTCCACAAGGAGTCCTCAGGAACCTGGTGCTGGCTTGTAGGGTGACCACAGTGAATGCTTCTACTTCCTCACTGTGCAGCACGCCAACGTTTTGTTGTAAATAACAGAGCAGAGACGTCTCTGCACATGGTCCTGGCTGGCCAGGTTTCAAGATGGGGGGGGTCTGGATGGGAGCTTTCCAGAAAGATTTCAAGTCCTCCCTGTCCCCACCCCTCCTCCAGTCCTGCAAGAGCACCTGTTTTCCACGCTTGGCAGCTGTTGTAATGCTGCTTAAACCCACTGATGCGAGAGTCAAAACGCCAATATTCCTTGATTCAGTTTTCATTTTGTGCGTGACGGAAAGCTTTACATTATCAAACATGTACTGCCTATTACATTTCTCCTGCTGTGATCCATCTGTTCCTGCCTCTGCCCATTTTTAAATATTGGAGTGAATATTTTTCTGATTGATTTCTACATTAAAAACATTAACCTTTTGTCATCATGCTTTTGCAAATATTTTCCTTTCCTCATTTTCTTTTTTTTGACATAGGCTATTTTAAGTTTATTTCATAAATCTCTATTTTTTTCCCCTGGCAATTTCCTCCACTGTTTTCATACTTGTTTTTCCTTGGCCTGAATTGAAAGAAATTCCTTCTTTGGGAAATTTCTGTCTCACCGAGAGCACTTCCAGTCTCTGCCAACACCTGTAGTTTATAACCTCACAGGCGCAAGAAGCCTTCATCACAGTTGGCAGCTGCCCCCTCCCTACTCTCAGCCTCACCTGAGGGCCCCACCTGCACTGTGGAGAGGGGCAGGGCACCGGAGAAGCCTCTGGAAGCCGCTGCTCCTCTCAGTTACTCTGATCAGAGGGCCCTCCTTTCACAAGCAGGGAAGGAAAAGGGGCCTGCGCTGGCCAGCTGTGCCTCCAGTCACGGCAACAGTTCTTCCAAAAATACGGAGACACGCCTCCTGTTTGGACCTGTTTCCCGTGCTCAAGCCCGGCAGGGCGCTGCTGCCCGGAGCGGCCCTTCCTCCGTCAGTGTGAGTCGCACCGCGACGTGTTACAGCGGGCTCTCTCCTGCCAACTGCATCAGCTAAAGAGGGACCTCAGGAACCGAGCGCAGCACAGATGGAGTCCAAAAACATTAAACTCCAGAAACTGCAGGTCTGCCAAGGACCCAGGCCTCTGTGAAGTCGGGGGTAAAAGTGACCGACATTAAAGACAGAAGAAATTACTGGAAGTAAACTTGGGGAACCCACTGTAAGTCTGGCAAAACTACCTCCTGGGAGATAATGAAAACAGTTGAAAAAAGTGCAGAAACTTAAGTTGGCTGTAACAGAAAACAGTGATAAGCGGACTACGGAAACACAAGTGGCTGTACCTTTGAGCGCACTGTCATTGGCACCAAAGAAAATTGTGACAGCCACTGGGCTGTCCAGCCCACTCCCCTTCCTGACGAGTCTGGGAAGGATAATTTTGGCCCATCTGGTGTTGTAACCTGAAAATCCACGATTCAGGACGTCACATTTTCTGAAATTAAAAAAAAAAAGGTGAATTGTGGGCAGAGAACTGTTTCCAGCCCCCTGCAGCACACTTTGGTGAGGGAAGGGGTGTGTCTGTGAGGAGGTGGGCAGTGCCCGGTGGCTGACACTGCCCAGGCTTCACCATGTGGGATCGGGGCAGGGCCTGGCTGAGGCACGTCAGACTCCTTCCTGGTTCCGAGACTGAGGGAAGTCCACCCAGGCCTCTGTGACAGAGGTTGTGAAGTACAGACGAAGGGGCTGTATGTACTTGCTGATGCCATGTCTGGTTGGTGGGGCGCTTTTAAAAGGAGCAGAAGGCAGACTGTTCGTGTGTCCCCTGCTGTCTACAGTAGCCACCAGTGGGGGCATTTGTTCAGGTCATCAACGACACTGCCACCATCACTATCACCCCATGGTTTTGATTCAGTAGATTAGTTGTGTTTCAGTTTAAACCAGTTCTAACAGGCATTTTATTCCTCCTTAAAGCTATATGACTTGATTCACAATACTATATGGAACGCTGAAAAAACCATGGAAATGGAGCTAACACTGAGTAGCTATGACCTTTGGTAGGTTTGTAGATGTTTCAAGTGAAGTGAAGTCGCTTAGTCATGTCCGATTCTTCGCGACCCCGTGGACTTGTAACCCACCAGGCTCCTCCGTCCATGGGATTCTCCAGGCAAGAGTACTGGAGTGGGTTGCCATTTCCTTCTCCAGGGGATCTCCCCAACCCAGGGATCGAACCCAGGTCTCCCGCATTTCAGGCAGACGCTTTAACCTCTGAGCCACCAGGGAAGCCCTAGATGTTTCCAGTTACTCATTAAAACAATTTTTTTCCCCAACACATCTCAGAGTTCAGTTTGTGGTTAGCAAACTGATGTGGTTAGTTTTATTGTCTGGTTCAAATTCTTACATGTAAGCAACTAAGCAGAGAAGCTGGGGCACCAAAGGCCCAAAAGAGGAGGAGGGCCTCTGCTCTAACAGCTCAGCATCTGCGAGTCTTGGGAGCGATGACAACAGAAATTCAGGGACATTTATTTCTGAGTCTTGTGTCTCAGTGTATAATGATTGCAAAAAACTGACTAGCCATTCTAAAGCCTCCACTGAGAACATTTGACAGGGGAGCACTCTAGAATTTTGGTAAGTCTGTAGTCTGTATCACATCCATCCAGTGGTGAAGTCCCTGCTGCACTTAAAAAACAAGAGGCAGAGCCGCCCCCGCCCGCGTGGTGTGTCAGTGACGCAGCGGCCAGTGGCTAGACCTCGCCACCCCAACCAGCAAGGGCGCCTTGGCCACCAGTTTCCCTTGGTTTGTCTCCCCACCACTGAGAGATGAACACTAATACCTCATCTGCTAGGTTACTTGACGACTAAAATATAGTGGCCAGATCTATCTATATAAGGAACTCCATAAATGCCAGCCATTATAGATTAAAAAAAAAAAGTCAGGGAACCAGGAAAAAACTGCTAGTGAGGCCCAGGGTTGAAACTGTTACACTTCCTGTCTAAAAGGGGACTACCCAAGTTCTGGATTGACTAACACAATCAATAGTGCCCATGTTATTCAAATAGCTAAAGAAACTGGAAAATTAAGCAAGGTTTTCACACAAATTCTTGGCTAACAACAGGAATTTAAGTTCAGAGGCTAAAAGAATTATTCAAAATATTAACATATCAATAAATTTCAAAAGCATTTAAGTAGATTTAAGAATTGTTAAAATGCTTTTGTACTGAATATACAAAGATCTTACTTTAAAGCTAAAACTTCAGGATGTCCCTATGGGACTCCATTTCTTATTTTAAGTGTATTGCTCTCCATGCAGGCAGGGGGCGCAGTGTAAAGAACCAGCCTGCCACAGGAGACTCAGATTGGATCCCTGGGTAGGGAAGATCCTCTGGAGAAAGGAATAGCAACCCACTCCAGTATTCCTGCCTGGAGAAGCCCACGGACAGAGGAGCCTGGTGGGCTACAGTCCATGGGGCCGTAGAGTCTGGTGCAACAGTGCACACGCACGTTCCTCCAGGCAGTACAGAAGGGCAGTTACAGTAAGGTGATTCTTAGTAATGTGCAGAGTTGGAAGTTAGGTAAGTTAATTCAGTGTTTTAACTGAATCAAATCAGTTCCAGGCTTAGGTCTGCCAAAAACATTCCCACCAAGTGTTCAAATGGCTAAAGACAGAACGTGTCCTTCCAAAGGGCAGTTGTCGGTGGGAAAGAAAGGAGCATTACAGAAAGGGAGGGCGGGTCGGGACTGTGTACCTCAGCGTGAAGCAGAGGGCGCCTCTGACGCTGGGCACGCTGCTCCCCATGTGGCCCCCTGGCTGCTCCAGGGACCTGCCTGTTGGGAGAAGGTGGGCTCAGGACACCCACGTGAGGAACCCCTGCTGCCAAGCTTCTAGTCTCTGTTCCACATGGCATTTTCGTTCACAACAGGCTTTCGTGGCCTTGGTTGAGGTCAGAGAGCCCAGGGGAGGCAGGCTGTGGGCAGAGCCAGGATCAGGGAGATCTCAGCCCACAGAGGCCTCCCTGTGGGTCAGCCACAGCTGCTCAGTTTTGTTCTGTCACAAGATGCTTTTAAAATGTGACATATCCATACATGGTCTACAACTTCATCTTTAAGAAATACACATAATTTTCTTTATTTATTGGCTGCGTGGCTTGTGGGATCTTTGCTCCCCAACCAGGGATTGAATCTGGGTCCTGGGCAGCAGGGAATTCCCTACGATTACTCTCAGTTCTGAAAATTAACTAGCTTCTAATTAAATGGTCTTTAACAATCACAAGTTTCCCTCATAGCTCAGTTGGTAAAGAAAAGTGAAAGTGACGCCCCTCAGTCATGTCCAACTCTTTGCGACCCTATGGACTGTAGCCTACCAGGCTCCTCTGTCCATGGGATTTTTCAGGCAAGAGTACTGGAGTGGGCTGCCACTTCCTTCTCCAGGGAATCTTCCTGACCCAGGGATCAAACCCCAATCTCCAGCATTGTAGACAGACGCTTTATCGTCTTAGCCACGAGGGAAGTCCGCCTGTAATGCAGGAGACCCTGGTTCGATTTCTGGGTCGGGAAGATCCCCTGGTCAAAGTATAGGGTACCCACTCCAGTATTCTTGGGCTTCCCTTGTGGGTCAGCTGGTAAAGAATCCGCCCGCAATGCGGGAGACCTGGGTTCAATCCCTGGCTTGGGAAGATCCCCTGGAGAAGGGAAAGGCTACCCACTCCAGTATTCTGGCCTGGAGAATTCCAGGACTATACAGTCCATGGGGTCGCGACACGACTGAGAGACTTTCACTCACTCACTCAGCCATCACACCTGTAAACAAACAGTTCTGACCAGATTTTAGTACTAAAACGATTCAGAAAACATTTATCGGTCAGACATTTCTAGAGTTTCAGATGACTGGAATAACTATTCTTCTTTTCAGTATCTTCTATTTGATCAGAAAAGGCTAATTGATCAATTAAACAGGTACTGAGTTACTAAAAACAAAAGCTAGCAGTTGCTGAGCACTTCTTACGAGCCAGGCTCTTGACTGAGCAGCACCCCGTAGCCTACTCACCCTCCAACAGGAAAGCAGGGTCCCCGTTGTCCCCAGAGGGGAGGAGCCTGGGCTCAAGGCCATGCCACCTGACACTTGCTATTGGGTGACCTCACCTACCTCTCTCCACCCTAGATTTCTCAGCACCAAATGGATGGGAGAATTCCCCAGCTGTACTATGCGGTAGTTGTAAAGATTTAATGAGACAATAAACATGAAGTATTTTAACCTCTCTGGCACCTGGTAAGCACTCAATAAAGTTAGCTATTAGAACCTCCTACCCTTCTTACAAGAGAGAAAACAGGAATGAAACGACACTTTTGGGCTTTTAGATTAAGTCAATTTAAACAGAGAAAGCATTTGGAAGTAGAAAAAGCTAGAAGGTCACTTTTTTCATTTCTGGTTTAGGGGAGGAAGAAGAAATGAAGACATTTTAAAACACAGTTCAAATTCAGAAATTACATTAAATATATTTTCTTAGTGTGTTAGTTATACTGCTGAAGAAAATTATCAAGTAATAAAAGCTGGCAGACACCCAGCTTGTTGTTTCTTCTGAAGGAGAAAAAGCAAACTGATGATCAGCTTACCGAAACCCAACCACAAATCCTGGTGTCTCCTGTTTCTAATGTGGGAATGTTTTTAAATATTTCTTAACCTCTGAACTGGGATATGTTTTCCTTTTAATAATTCCATTAGCATATGCTTAAATGAATTTTGGCAAATGGAATGTCAAAATCATCACTATTTCTTTTTCTCCCCCCACCCCCACTATTTCTGCTATATATATATATATTTTTTTTTTCCTGTTATATTTTATAAAGTGAATTTGGGAGGAAAAAAGTCTGTACCCAAAAAGGAATCCAACTGTAGTTTCAGGACATATTTTGTATTATTTCATTTGACTTCCTTGCTAATTATTTAGGTCGTATCTACCATAAGTGAAAAAGAACTTGTCTTGTTTAGATAGTGAATAGCCATATGTTTTAGATCCAAACCCCTGATACATTTTTTCACAACTTTGAGGGTTCAGTTTCATGCGGTGGCCAAGTTTTAACTGAACCTGAGTGCTATCCCCCCTCCCCCACCCCTTTACATACACCAACTGGGAAAGGCTGAAAAGAGGAAGAGAGGAGGGACTTACTGTTTGGCACTATCATTCCCTCTCTTCTCCATCAGTAAGCACTCAAGCACCAATCTAGAAACTATTCTCACCTGACCAGCATGTCAGCCAGTGACGCTCCCCATCCACCCTGCTGGAAAGAAAACTGAAGAAAAAAAAGCCGGTTACTACTTATCCATGTCATCAGGACAATCTGTTCAGCAGCCCCTGTCCTGTTCTCTCTCTGCGTTCTCTGACTTCTTGGCCTGCACCATTCACTTTGCTCCGAGGTCATTTCAGGGATTACCGTAGCTGCAAACTGCAGCAGCACTCTGGAAGTGAGGGGTCTTGCCTGGCAACAGGATTTGAGCCAGTCAGCTGCATTTTATTATTTATTTTTTGGCCACACCATAAGGCACGTAGGATCTTAGTTCCCTGACCAGGGAGCGAACTCGCACCCCCACTGTGGTGGAAGTACAGAGCCCTAACCTCTGGACCACCAGGGAAGTCCCCAGCTGCATCTTATTGAGACCTATACTAGAGTCACTGTTATTTAGAAAAGATACTTAAGAGAGGTACAAGAAATAAAATCAACTGTCTAGTTAGGAAATGAAACCCACACTACACTATCTCACCATAGTTGAATTAATAAGGAAATTAGAGAACTCAGAGTATTTTTAATATACATTCCCTTGTGGAATTTGGAAAGCCCTTAGAAACCTAAAAATAAAACTGGTTTAAGAAGTCATATCTGAACGTGAGAAAAATAAGAAACAAAAGCCGCAAGAGGGTAATTTTTAAAATGAACTCCTTCCCTGAATTAAGAACATTTATTTTTCCTCTGATGAGAGCTGAAATAATATTGGGAAAATACATGATCTGGCTCTTTGCTGCAGTGTATGCCTCTGGACACGGGAGCAACAAAATAGACACGGTAAGGGGCTAAAAATGGCTGCATCCATGCCAAGGTGGGGCCAGTTATGAACAAGATACAAAGAGAACAAAAACCCAACTGCCACTTCTGAAGAGCTGGGAACAAAAGCGGGGTGTTACGAGCAAAAGCATGGTACTGCCCAGTGCCCCTTGCACTCAACACACTTGGGGGGCGGGCAAACCACCTAAGCCACCCCGCCTCAGGACCCCGAGACACACACCTACCCTCACCCCATCTAAGGAACCAGTTTGCCCCACCCTGGGGAGCAAGCAAGGGAACATGTTACTTGTTTTCACTGCCTCCACGTGGCCCCAGGAGCTTCAACCAAGCCTTGCCTGAATTCCTTGACTGGTCTCTTGCCAACTGATTAGGGAAAGGCCAAGAACCCTGTAACACCTGGAGGCATCTCTTCCTGGATCAACCTGTTCCCTCAGAGGAAGCACAGAGGTGAACTGGTTCCAGCGTTTCTGCATGGAGCTGACAGGAAGTACAAAACTGAAGAAAGTGCTTTAGCTCCACCCTGGGACCTGTGCAGGCTACCGGCCCAGGGAAGCTCTGAGCTACAGAGCACTGCTCCTGCTGTGAGCGAGTTTAAAAGTCCCTTTTCAGAATTCGCTGTATTGCTCAGGAAACTCAAACAGGAGCTCTATATCAACCTAGAGGGGTGGGATGCGGAGGGAGATGGGACTGAGGTTCAAAAGGGAGGTGACATATGTATACCTATGGTCGATTCATGTTAGGTTTGACAGAAAACAGCAAAATTCTGTAAAGCAACGATCCTTCAATAAAAAATATATTAATTTTTAAAAAAGTGACCCGAAGGGAGGCCCGGACGAGCCCCTAAAAGCGCCCGCACACGGTCTCATCTGTCAAACGGGCTCCCCAAGACTCAACGAGACCGGGGTCTAGTACTGCGAGGCCGTGCCGCCCCCCGAGGCCGTCACTCCCAGGCCGAGAAATGAGCCGTGACACCGTATGTATGTGACATACATACGTGACATACCATACGTGACACCGTATGACACCGGCGCGGTGTCACGAAGGGGCCCACGCTGCCGGCCTCGGAGGCGCCCGGCCTGGGGGCGGTGGGCTGCGGGGGGAGGCGGCCCCGCAACCTCGGGACAGTCGGGGGAAATGGGAGCCAGGGATAGGCCAAGAAGCCAGGCCCGCGGTTCTCGGCCGGGGCCGCAGGCCCAGGGGGCGCGGGGAGGTCGAGGGGGCCAAGCCGGGATCCGCAGACTGGACGCGGGGCCGAGCGGCGGTCACCTGGGTGATGGAGTCTCCGAAAAGCAGAACCCGAGGCCAGAGGAGAGGACTCCCGCTCGCCACAGCCTCGCATAACGCCATGCTGCCGACGGCCGGGAGGCGGGGCCGCGCCGGATATCCGGGCGGGGCGAGCAGCCGGGGAGGAGGCGGGCGGGAGGACGAGGCGCCTGCGCAGTCCGAAGCCTTCGCCAGCAGGTATTTGCTGGTTGGCTCTTCTTCCTGGATGGTCCCTTAGGGGCTCCAGGAGCGGGGTTCCTTTGGAGACCAAGTGAAAGTCTTTCAGTCGTGTCCGAGTCTTTGCGACTCAAGGACTATACAGTCCATGGGATTCTCCAGGCCGGAATACTGGAGTGGGTTGCCTTTCTCTTCTCCAGAGGATCTTCCTAAACCAGGGATCGAACCCAGGTCTTCCGCATTGCAGGCGGATGCTTTACCAGCTGAGCCACTAGTTGGACACTTTGGAGGTCACTTTTAAGACATGCGCTAGCTGTCGCTTCTTGGAGTGCTCATTTTTGTCAGTTTACAAAAGCTCAGCCTCCTGCAATTCATTAGCTTTTTTTTTTTTTATTAGCTTTTTATTCCATTATCCGAGCCGTTTGATGCAGGGCGCGCGTGGCGACCCTGTCGTCCGGAAGCCCACCGACTCCCCGAGACAGATGAGGCGACGCTGCATCCGCCCGCCCTCTGGCCAGTATCGAGTGTCGGCTCTGCGAGTGGAAGACAACCCAGAAAGAGCGATGTGGCGCTGCAATCAGATCCAACATCTACCCCGCAAAGGTGGGTTCAGATGTTTGAGCAAATTGCAAGGCGTTTGAAGAACTAACCAACGGTATAGCAAGGACTTCCAAGGGATTAATTCATCACAGCTATCCCTTGTTAATTGAATGAGGCATCCAACCTTTTGACCTCAGTTTTTAAAAAAAAGTTAAGACATTTGCTAAAGATAGTATAGCAGACTACCCAGGAAGGACTCTGGTGGGATTTTGCAGTAGAGGACAGAGGTAGGCTTCATCAGTTCAGTCACTCAGTCGTGTCTGACTCTTTGCAAACCCGTGGACTGCAGCACACAAGGCCTCCCTGTCCATCACCAACTTCTGGAGCTTACTAAAACTGATGTTCATCGAGTCAGTGATGCCATCCAAACATTTCATCTTGTCAGCCCCTTCTCCTGCCTTCAATCTTTCCCAGCATCAGGGGCTTTTCTAGTGAGTCAGTTCTTCCCATCAGGTGGCCAAAGTATTGGAGTTTCGGTTTCAGTATCAGTCCTTCCAATGAATATTCAGGAATGATTTCCTTTAGCATAGACTGGTTGGATTGCCTTGCAGTCCAAGGGACTCTCTCAAGAGACTTCTCCAACACCATAGTTAAAAAGCATCAATTCTTTGGCATTCAGCTTTCTTTATAGTCCAACTCTCATGTCCATACATGACCACTGGAAAAACCATAGCCTTGAACAGACAGACCTTTTTTGGCAAAGTAATGTCTCTGCTTTTTAATATGCTGTCTACGTTGGTCATAACTTTTCTTCCAAGGAACAAGCATCTTTTAATTTCATGGCTGCAGTCACTATCTGCAGTGATTTTGGAGCCCCCCAAAAGAAAGTCTCTGTTTCCACTGTTTCCCCATCCATCTGCCATGAAGTGATGGGACCAGATACCATGATCTTAGTTTTCTGAATGTTGAGCTTTAAGCCAACTTTTTCACTCTCCTCTTTCACTTTCATCAAGAGGCTCTTTAGTTCTTGGCTTTCTGCCATAAGGGTGGTGTCATCTGCATATCTGAGGTTATAGATATTTCTCCTGGCAATCTTTTTTTTTTTCTTCCTTGAAATCTTGATTCCAGCTTGTGCTTCATCCCGCCCGGCATTTTGAATGATATATTGGACATATAAGTTAAATAAGCATGGTGACAATATACAGCCTCAACGTACCTTTTCCTATTTGGAACCAGTCTGTTGTTCCATGTCCAGTTCTAACTGTTGCTTCTTGACCTGCATACAGGTTTCTCAGGAGTCAGGTCAGGTGGTCTGGTATTCCCATCTCTTTCAGAATTTTCCACAGTTTGTTGTGATCCACACAGGCAAAGGCTTTGGCATAATCAATAAAGCAGAAGTAGATGTTTTTCTGGAACTCTCTTGCTTTTTCGATGATCCAACAGATGTTGACAATTTGATCTCTGGTTCCTCTGCCTTTTCTAAATCCAGCTTGAACATCTGGAACTTCACGGTTCTTGTGCTGTTAAAACCTGGCTTGGAGAATTTTGAGCATTACTTTGCTGGTGTTTAAGATGAGTGCAATTGTGCGGTAGTTTGTGCATTCTTTGGCATTGCCTTTCTTTGGGATTGGAATAAAAACTGACATTTTTCAGTCCTGTGGCCACTGATGAGTTTTCCAAATTTGCTGGCATATTGAGTGCAGCAGTTTAACAGCATCATTTTTTAGGATCTGAGATAGATCAACTGAAATTCCATCACCTCCACTAGCTTTGTTCCTAGTGATGCTTCCTAAGGCCCACTTGACTTCACATTCCAAGATGTCTGGCTCTAGGTGAGTGATCACTCCATAGTGGTTGTCTGGGTCATGAAGATCTTTTTTGTATAGTTCTGTGTATTCTTGCCACCTCTTCTTAATATCATCTGCTTCTGTTAGGTCCCTTCCATTTCTGCCTTTTATTGTGCCCATCTTTGCATGAAATGTTCCCTTGGTCTCTAATTTTCTTGCAGAGATCTCTAGTCATTCCCATTCTATTGTTTTCCTCAATTTCTTTGCACTGATCACTAAGGGAGGCTTTTTTTTTTTCCTCTCTCCTTGCTATTCTTTGAAACTCTGCATTCAAATGGGTATAGCTTTCCTTTTCTCCTTTGCCTTTCACTTCTTTTCTTTTCTCAGCTATTTGTAAGGCCTCCTTAGACAACCATTATGCCTTTTTGCATTTCTTTCTCTTGGAGATGGTCTTGATCACTGTGTCCTGTACCGTGTCATGAACTTCCACCCATAGGTCTGCAGGCACTCTTATCAGATCTAATCCCTTGAATTTATTTGTCACTTCCACTGTATAAATGTTAAGGGATTTGATTTAGGTCATACCCGAATGGTCTAGTGGTTTTCCCCACTTTCTTCAATTTAATTCTGAATTTGGCAATAAGGAGTTCATGATCTGAGTCACAGTTAGCTCCCGGTCTTGATTTTGCTGACTGTATAGCCTCTCCATCTTTGGCTGCAAAGAATATAATCAATCTGATTTCAGTATTGACCATCTGGTGATGTCCATGTGTAGAGTCTTCTCTTGTGTTGTTGGAAGAGGGTGTTTGCTATGACCAGTGTGTTCTCTTGGCAAAACTCTGTTAGCCTTTGCCCTGCTTCATTCTGTACTCCAAGGCCAAATTTGCCTGTTACTCCAGGTATCTCTTGACTTCCTACTTTTGCATTTCAGTTCCCTATAGATGAAAAGGACATCTTTTCTGGTGTTAGTTCTAGAAGGTCTTGTAGGTCTTTATAGAACCGTTCAACTTCAGCTTCTTCAGCATTATTGTTTGGATAATAGTAGACTTGGATTACTGTGATATTGAATGGTTTGCCTTGGAAACGAATAGAGATCATTCTGTCATTTTTGAGATTGCATCCAAGTACTGCATTTCAGACTCTTCTGTTGACTATGATGGTTACTCCATTTCTTCTAAGGGATTCTTGCCCACAGTAGTAGATACAATGGTCATCTAAGTTAAATTCACTGATTCCAGTCCATTTTAGTTCACTGATTCCTAAAATGTCAGTGTTCATTGTTGCCGTCTCCTGCTTGACCACTTCCAATTTACCTTGATTCATGGACCTAACTAAACTCTGGATAAGAAAGAAGAGTGGGGGTCTGTAGCCAGGAGCAGGGGGAGGGGTCAGGTGAATGTGAAACCACAAGGAGGGAGGATGAATCTCCCTGACAGGGTTCCCACTGAAGGCAGGGTAGGGTGATATCAGGATGAGGAATCTGAGCGGCTATTCTGGGTGATTAGATCAACAGTGAAGAATTTTTTTAAACCGACTCAGTGGGATTCTTGCTAAAACTGATCTAAAGGGGCTAAGAGTAGGACCCAAGGTGGGCGCTTAAAAGACAGAGGAGCCTGGCCCATGTTTGCTCAAAGGAGAGTCCTTGTCACCTCAGTCATAGCCATGAAGTTTGACAGTTGTGATGGAAGTGAGCCAGAAGGATGTCCCGAAAGAACTGAGCTTAAGGGGAAGACCAGCAGGTAGGCCATGCGTGTTAGAAAAGTTGTCGTTTTCATGGCTTGGACGTGGAGTGTCGGGGGAGTGGCTGGAGCTGGAGAGGCAGGCAGGGACCCTGTCTTTAGGTTGGGAGTTCTCGGCTTCAACTAGTATCACCTGAGCACTTTAAGAGTGTGCTGATGAAGTAGCATCACTGCAGACCAGTTAACTACACTGCAGATGGTGGGATATGGGCATCAGCACATCGTCACTGCTTCCCACGTGATTCCAATGTGCAGCCAGGGTTGAGAACCCCCTGTGAGGCCAAGTTAAGGTTCGGACTTCACCCTAATTAAGGTGAAGAAGCCCTGCAGGATTTCCAGCAGGGGTGGCTTGAGGGCAGGTCTGTTATTTTAGGGATCAATCATAGGGAGAGGAGAAGGAACACTGTGGCAGGAACCAGATGGGAGAAAATGACCTGGACTCAGAGCCACAGTGCAGATTCAAGAGCAGCTCAGCATCCTTAACTGAAATTGGTACCTTAGGGGGAGGGACTGGGAAACAGGACTTGCTCTTTTTGCTGTATATGACCTGGGTTGTAAAGATAACACAAGTGTGTATTAACTTAAAAATGTTTTTAAATCTATCTCAACAAAATCTTAAATGCCGCTTATAAAAGGTGACCCTTAGACCTCTGGTTTGGGCCAAAGTAGAGTACCTTATAGAAATAGATGTATTTCGTTTCAAGCAAAAATTCAGATTCAGGCACTGGTGTGCGTATCACCGAAGCACAGGGGAGAGCTAAACAGTGACTGGCTGAGTGGAGGCTTGAGCCTGCCAGTGAGTGTAACAGCTCTGAAGCTGGGCTGCGACTTGAGGAGCTGG